CTCATGTGCTTGCAGGTGCGACGGTGCCTCGGCGTGGCCTCTAGGTTTCCAAGTCAAAATTCCTCGCGCGTGGCCAGTGGTGCCCCCCTGCATAATTAACGGTCGAACTACGGTGCTTTACCGCAAGCAGCGGACACTGATCTTCTTGCAGTTCAAGGCCGCTCTTCTTGTCGCAGATTCGAGAAGGAAGGCAGGCGTGAGTCGCAAGTGTATTACCTTCTAGTATCATCATGCTCCTGCTTCTGCTCCTCGCGCCTGTGTGGCGCAATCTTGCGGTTATCCCAGCGAGATTCCATGTGGTTTGCGCAAGAAAGGGCTGCGCGCCCCCTCTTTAATCCTTTGCCCCCTCCCCCTTGCTCTCGCCCTCACCGTGGCAAGGCCCCTCGCCTGCCAGGGGCGTTCCTCCGCTGCGCGTTGACGGGCAGCTTTTCCGCAGTGCTGCGCAGTGTGCGCGGGTCGCGCAGTCATCGTCGCCTGATTTCGAAGCACAGCGAGCTGCATAACCATGATTATCGGGGTCCGCGCGGATCTCAGACAAATCAAGTACATGCTGCTTTTGTTTTTATACGATAGGCGCGGCCGCAGATCTACATTGTCCCGCGTGCTCACCTCGAGCCAGGTGCGTCTGGAGTCGTCGCGGGTCCTGCTTGAGCTTGTGCCGATCGCTCAAAACGCACGCCGCGTCGTGTGCGGTGTCTCACCGCATGCGCTACGTAGGCGGGAACATGGGCGCACCGTTCGAATCGCCTTCGGCTCGCGGTCGCTGCGTTCAACCTAGCACGCCGCGCTCACGCGCGAGCGTCTCTGCTGCAGGCCGAACGCGGGAAGTCACTGGCACGTCAAACAATAGTTGCCGCTGGTAGAGCGCCTGCAATGGAGTTCGGGCTGATTGCGAAGGCCTTACGGCTGGTGCCGCCGACCCTGAAGGGGGACGACGACGAAAACAACGACGATGAACATATTCAAAAAACTCAGGAATGGGAGGGAGGAGAAGAGGGGGACGGAGGAGGTGAAGGGGAAGGGGAAAAGGATGGAGGAGGGAAGGCAATTATGAGGAGGAGGGATGAGGACGTGGATTGCGGAGGAGTCGCCACGGCTTCGCCGTTTACCAGGATAGGGGTGGTGTGTCGCCACCAAAACAAAAGGGCATCGCGGCAAACATTTTAGTGTGTATGCACCGTCGGGCTGCCGACGACGACGACACTGACGTGGGTCAGAGTCGTCCTCAAGGATGTTTCTTGGGGTCTGGTCGAGACGCTATGGGGGTCCTCGAGGGACAGTGTAGGAGTCTCTTGGGAGCCTCATGGGGGCCTGTGGGGGCTTCCCCGGGGGCCTCTCGGGAGCATCTTGGGGTCCCTTCGTGGCTTCTTGGGGGCCTTTTTGGGCCCTCTTGGTTTCTCCTGTGAGCACTCGGGGCGGAGGGCTCGAAATGTCCGTTTTGGTCAGTCGTCTCGGCACCGTCTTGGGGCCGTCTTGGGGGCCTTTGGGGCCCTTTTGGAGGCGTCTTGGGCCGTCTTGGGGCTCTCTTGGACTGGGTCGTTCGTGGGGCCCTCTGGGGCTGTCTGGAGGGCGATCCGGAAGGCCGCTTGGGCCGTCTTGGAGCGTCGGGAAGCGGGAGAGGCGAGAACGCCGAAATCTGCAAACAACTATGGAAAATCTACCGTTTTTGTCTTCGAGGCACTGTTGGGACTGCTCATGGAGGCCTCTTTGCGCGTTTTGCAGGATTCTCCGGCCGTCTGGAGGCCGTCCAGGCGTCTTGGACAGATCGTTCGACGATTCGGAGCCCTCGTGGACTGTCTTTGGGAGATTTTGGGGCAGTCTTGGTCCATCTCGAGGCTTTTTTGCGGCCGGGGAGCCTCCGGAGTGAAAACGTATCTGACCAAGGACCCACTGGGTCTGGACCCGGGTCCAGGCCCGGGACCCACCCCGAATCCAGACCCGGGACCCCCCCCCCGTCCCGGCGGGGGAGGGATCAAAAGCAAGGTTTTTTTTTGAGTGGATGACGACGTTGCTCAATTTCGCTTTGAGAGACGCGTTTGAGGAGGAGAGCCGAAGAAAGAGGAGAGGAGCGGCGACGGGCACAGGGAGAGGAAAGGAAAGCGCAGGGAACGATGACGACAGAGACGACGATGAACGAATGACGGCGACTACGACTCGAAAGGAGAAGGGTCGGCGGATTTGGATTTTGGAGTCCAGACACCATATTGCACCTACGGAGTATGGTTCTTCGACTGCTTGGGACTGCGGCGCATTCTTTTGATTTCGGTGATGCGCGGATGTCCTCCGCAGTGGACTCGCTGATTGTCCCGCGGTCGGATGTGACGAGCCGGATCTGCAACAAGCATCAGAACGTAGATCAGACACAGCTTGCATCGTTTCGCTTTCGATCACGGGATGGAAGCTTCTGGCGTGCCCCACCGCGCTGTTTACCCCCACTGTTGGCCTCGTCCCCGCCGTTGGCCCCACAGCCCTGCGTGGCTGGGCTTTTCTCTTCTTGCTGACGAGCGCATCGCGCGTGCCGGGCGAGCTCTCTGGAGGGCCTGGGGGCAGCGGGACGGCAGCTGACGACATGCCAGATGCGGTTTTGCCTGACAGTGGATGTCCGTGGCCCTGGTTTTGCTGAGGACGCTCGTCTGGTCGCAGGACAGTCATGGTCACGGTGCAGGCGTCGTCGGCTACGCTCCTCGATGCGGACGATCAGCTTGGGGTACCTCCCCTTGGTTCGTTTGCGCTGGTGGTCGGGTGCTGTTCGCTGCTCTTGCGCCATTTCCGTTGGTAGTCTGCGAGGTCGCCAGGGGCATTTGTTGCCAGGCACCGCAGCACATACCATTCGGTCGCGAGCTCGCTCGACGAGTGCGTGGTCACATTCGGCGGCGAGCGGGGGTGTGTGTGTGTGAGAAAGAGAAAGCCCTCTCAGAAGGCGGCGGGGCTTCCCTTCGGCTTTCTGAGGGGTTTTCTGTGTCTTCGAAGAAGGTTTAAAACAACGTTGGGGAAGGATGGGAGACTTCCGAGCCTTCCGAGAAGGCCCGCCCCCTCTCAATTCCCGCCTGGGCTCGCCGCCAACACATTCTTGGCCAGTCACACACATTGATCCGGGCACCTCCCTGGGTTTTTCCGCACGCTCGCATACGACGACTTCTGGGGCTGCTGGTGATGCGACTTACGCCCATGCTCTGAAGGGACCAACTGACCGATTCATCGCGGACGTCGCCACGAACTCTTTCATGGATGTAGTTTCGGGCGGGAGATTCGGTGTGAACATCAAGGGAGGAAAAACCACCCGGACTGGACACTTGGCGTTTACTGAACGGCCATGCGCGTTCACTGATCAGCCCCGCCATGTTTGCCTCCTTCTTTGGGTGCGCTTGCGAAACGGCTTCGCGCGTCGGGGTGTTTCTTATCGGGGATGATGATGGTGATGGTGCTGATGATGCTGATGATGGTGGTGATGGTAATGGTGATGGTGATGCTGCTGATGATGATGATGATGATGGCGATGATGGTGATGATGATGATGATGATGATGATGCTGCTGCTGATGATGATGATGATGATGGTGGTTATGGTGATGGTCGTGGTGATGGCGATGGTGATGATGATGCTGATGATGATGATGCTGATGGTGGTGATGATGATGATGGTGGTGATGATGATGGTGGTGGTGATGATGATGATGATGATGATGATGATGATGATGATGATGGTGATGATGATGATGCTGATGCTGATGATGATGATGTTGCTGATGATGGTTCTCTGCCCTCCCGAGCAGCACGAGCCGCCCCGCGTGCAGATTCCAGGGACATCGGGGCGCGGGGGCAGGCACGCGGAGGGCCAACGAGGTTGGAGGAGGCGGAGGGCCCCCTCCCCCCCTTCCGGGCCCCCAGAGGGGGGGCGGAGGCAGGAGGGACGGCCGGTTTCGGGCCCCCGTGGAGCGGCCGCGGAGTCCTGGAACTAGTCGTAAGTCGGGCGCGCCCCTCCACAGGAGGAATGATTCCAGAATGGTAAAACAATAGCCTGGGGGCGATGTTTCGAGAATTATTCTGACCATTTGGGGATCTGTTTGAGGCATTTTTGTATGTTTCGTCCAAAATCCGCCTGTAGGGGGACATGCCCGACATACAGGTAGGAGGGGCGATCGGCTTCGGTCCCCCGTGAATCGGCCGCGGAGTCTCTTGAAGACAGTCACTCGGTCACAGCATCATTGACGAGAGAAGTTGCGTGCGACATTGGCCAGCGGCGTGGGGACGGCTCAAGGTGGGCACGAGCTCGTGGTCTGGCCGCGCGTCGGGCGCTTCGCTTCTCTGCTTCGCTGCTGGCACCGTTCACGTGCCCTTGCCCCGCGCCGCTCGTGCCACCGCACCCGGGGGGCCCCGCAAGCGTCCTCGTCCTGCGAGGGCGCCCGAGCGGACGGATCCGCCGCCCCGTGCTGCTCCATCGTCTGCTCTGCTGTCCTCCCCTCCCTCCCTCCTCCTTCCTCCTGTGTCCTCGTCCTGCTCCCGCTCCCCCCCTCTCCCTCCCGCCCCCCCCCTCCCCCTCCCGTCCCCTTCGTCCACCCCCTTCTCCCCCATGGCCCCCTCCCCCCCACCCTCCTTCCTCCCTGGGCCCCAGGGTCCTCCCAGGCCACTTCGTGGCCCGAGGGCAGAGCTTCGGTCTTTCCAGTGATTCGCCCTCCGAGGCTTCATCTCTCAGCGGCCTCGTGCAGGCCCAGCCCTTGAGAGGCCCCACGACCCGAACTCAACCCAGCGTACAAGTCACCGTTCACCGCCGCTCCCCCCCTTCCTCCTCGTCGTCGCTGCCACCGTCGTTGTCGTCGTCGTCGTCGTTGTCGTCGTCGTCGTCGTCGTCGTCGTGGTCGTCGTGGTCGTCGTGGTCGTCGTCGTCGTCGTCGTCGTGGTCGTGGTCGTGGTCGTGGTCGTCGTCGCCGTCGTCGTCGTCGCCGTCGCCGCCGCCGTCCCCGTCGCCGTTGTCGTCGCCGTCGTCGTGGTCCTCTCCGCCAGGCCGGCCCGCAGCTGCTCCAGGGCGTCGCGCAGCCGCAGCCTTGGCCCGCTCCGCAGGTGCAGGCGCCCGCCCGTCTCCGCCGAGGGGGGGGGGGCTTGCGGAGGCCCAGGCGGGGTCCCTGGACCCCTCTCGGAGCACGACCCTCTTCCTCCTCCTCCTCCTCTTCCTCTTCCTCCTCCTCCTCCTCCTCCTCCTCCTCCTCCTCCTCCTCTTCCTCTTCCTCTTCCTCTTCCTCCTCCTTCTCCTCTTCCTCTTCCTCATGGATCTTCCTTCTCCTCGTCCTCCTCCTCATCATCCTCTTTCGGCCACGCGCAGAGGGGGGTAGGGGGAGGGGGGGGGAGGCTTCTCAGAAGCACCCCTGCTTCTTCGAAGGTGCGGGCATTTTCTGTAGATGTAAGGCCGGCGCCTTCGAAGAAGCAGCCTGCTTCTAAGAAGCCTTCCCCCTCCACCTACCCTCCTCGTCGTCCTCCTCCTCGTCCTCCTCATTCTCCTCGTCCTCTTCCTCTTTCTCCTCGTCCTCCTCCTCTGCCTCCTCTTCCTCCGCCTCCCCCTCCTCCTCTTCCTCCTCTTCCTCCTGCTCCTGCCCCTTCTCTTCTTCCCCCTTCTCCTCTTCCTCCCCCTCTCCCCTTCCTCCTTCTCCTCCTCCCCCCCCTCCTCTGCTTCGTCTTCCTCCTGGACCTCGCCCTCCCCAGGCCCCGAGACGTTCTCGGAGAGCGACTCAGGTCCCCTCGGGTCGTGATGCGGTCCCGACGTGAGGTCTGCCGCTGTTTTCGGGCTCTGGGGGCCCTCGCCAGGCTTCGGGGCCGTCGAAAAGCGACTCCACTGCAGACTGCGCCCGAGGGGGGGAAGAGTGAGGAGAAGGAGGAGGAGGAGGAGAAGGAGGAGGAAGAGGAGGAGGAGGAGGCGGAGGAGGAGGAGGAGGAGGAGGAGGAGGAGCCGGTCCCATGGAATGGGTCGAGACTTTTAGAAGTCGACGCTGTGAAACAACATTTGACGACGGGGCTCTGTTGACCCGAGTTCCAAAACTGTGCGGCGACCCCGAAGCCCCACTGACTCACCACACGGTGTGGTTACCAGTCGCTTGGCGGCTTCCGTTCTTCGTCCTGAGCCTTCTCCTTGGCGGCCTTGTGGCAGATAACTGCTCCCAGAGGCCGAGAGCCCGCATCATCCGTTACCCACATTTTTGGGTAACGCTCTGGACGAGCGAACCGTCGACGTCTTCGAAACCCTCGCTTGGACCCCTGCGCGCCGTGCCTTCGTCACCGACATTCGACCTCATCCGGCTCATCCGTTCGCGACCAAACTTCGGCGCGACCGAGATCTGCAAAACAATATAATCAGCTCGCGGATGGTCTGTTGGGGGCGCCATGGCGAGGCCCCTGCAGGGTCGGGAGGACAGGCTTAGGGGCTCAGGGGATTCCAGGTTCGGTTCCTGGCGGCTTTCCAGCCTCGGGATGCGTTCCAGCAGCTGCGTCTCGCCGCGGGTGCTCTCGGGTGGCCCAGATCGTCCCAAACTGCTACTGGAGATCCGAGTTGTGACCCCCAATCCGCGGGGTTGGTGTCAGGGGCCTCCAAATGGGTTGGTGACCACACCGTGCAGTGAGTCAGTAAGGATTCAGGGTCACCGCTCAGTTTTGACACTCGGGTCGTTCTCTAGGGATGTCTTTCTCAACTGCGGTCTCCGAGGTCCCTAAACAGTGCGGTGAAGGACTGTGCGGCGAGGTGAGATCCTTTGGGGTTTCAAGGTCACCGCACGGTCTAGCTGTCACCACGCGGATTTGGGACTTCCAAGGCAAGGATCGGGCGGGGCTTGGACCGGAATACATTGTTTCAGAGCGTTCCGGAGCGCTCTGTAATGGCCGCGGCGTCCAATTCATCCTCCAGAGTTGCTGGATCTCAGACATCACCGACGCGTCCTGGTCGGATTTTGTCCTTGTTATGGCTTCATCTCAAGAGCGAGCGGATGGGGAGGGGGAGAGGCACCTGCAGCTCCAGGCGACGCAACAACAAAAACACGTCGGCCAGCTTTTGCGGCTTTTCGACCTCTGGGGGTCGTCACTGGGCCCTTGGACCGTCACAAAATGGTCAGGATGAAGAGCCGGCCCTTGGGAGGGGGTCTAGCCGGTCGAGATCCCCGGGGGCCCGCGTCGAGAACAAGCTGCCAAGTCGGGGGCGAGGGAGAATGGGCCTCAGAATGGGAGGGCCGCGAGGTGAAGGAGGGCAGGTGGAGGGGGGGGGAGGTGCAGGATGGGAAGCGGGAGGGCGGGGGGGCAGGGAGGCGCAGGAGGGGTGGGGAGGTGGAGCGGCGGGGCAGGCCTCCTCCCCACCCGCGAGTGGCTCTGTGGGTGGGTTTCGCGCCGCGCTGGCTGGCTGGAGCGCCGCCCGTGGCCGGGAATCGGCCAGCATCGAGAGCGAGCTGCGGTATCGGACAGTTGCGTGTGAGTGTGTGCGTGTCTGTGTGTGTGTGTGTGTGTGCATGTGTGTGCGTGCGTGTGTGTGTGTGTATGTCGGTCCTCCTCCACCACTCCTCCTCCTCCTCCTCCTCCTCCTCCTCCTCCTCCTCCTCCTCCTCCTCATGTCCCTTTCCGCCCTGCAGGAGGCCCGTCTGGACCCGCCCGCCAGGCCCGCACGGGCACTGATCGACTACACGCAAGAGTGACCTTTCGCCGGAGTGACCTTTGGTGCGGGCCCACCGGGGTCCCCCGACCACCGAGCGCGATGCGACAGCATCGGCTTCTGCGCTTGTGTTTGATCCCCCCGCGGCACCCAAAAAGCCGCGCACCAAGGGTCACTCTTACCCAGGGTCACTCTTGCGTGTAGCCGAACTGAATCTCGCGGGCGGGCAGCCTAGTAATGCCCGACCCGCGGGACGCCCTCTCCCCGCGGCCGGGAGCCTTCCAGCGGGCCCTCAGCGCAGGGCAGAGGGAGTCCTCCTCCTCCACCTCCTCCTCCTCCTCCTCTTTCTCCTCCTCCTCTTTCTCCTCCTCCTCTTTCTCCTCCTATTCCCAGTCCACCCATCTGGTATGCCAGATGGTGATTCGCTCAAGCGTGTCCCGGCTTAGTGCATCGCGACGGTGTCGCCACCCCGCCGTTGAAGAGGAACAGGGTGCGCGGAGACCTTGAGAGCGTTTCTCGGCCGTGCTTTCGGGTCCGAGGGCATCTCGGCTGGCTCTGTTCCCCCGTCGTGCAACCCTGACGGCCTTGACGGCTACGGCCTCGCGGAGGCCCTCCCACCCATGGGGCTGGGTGAGGTTGTCAAGATCATCCACAAGGAAGGCGGCCAGAAGACCTAGACCGATTTCCTGGCGTGTTCCGCCCCCCCCCCCCACAGGCACGCGGGGCCTCGGCGCGGCCGCCGCCCCCAGGCGTTCATCGCCCTGGCACTTCCTGGGCCCTCCGGCACGGTGGGAGCGAGCACCGCTCCCACACTTGGGACGCGAGGACGGTAGCCGCACGGAGGCAGTCGGGGACCCCCTCTTCCAGTGGCCTTCCACGCCCTTGTCACCCTCGCCGCCTCTGACCGCCTTCTCTAGCTGCGCTCAGTGCGCCATGCTGGTTCACCCCCTTGCGGGTCCACCGCCGCTCCTGCGCGCCCCTCGCACTTTCACCACCGACATCGTGCCACGACCACCTCGGTCGCACCTCTCCCTCCCCGCCGCCGGTCCCCTCTCGCCACCCCCTCGCGGCCTCCCCCAAGCAAGTCGAGTCGCGTGGTCCCCTTTGGGTGGGCCATGCAGGTCCCTGCTCCGCGAACCTGGCCAGTCCGCCGGCCTCTCTTTACATTTGCATGGCTTCGCACGCACGTGCGTGCGTGCGTGCGTGCGTGCGTGCGTGCGTGTGTGTGTGTGTGTGTGTGTGTGTGTGAACGTGTGCGTGCGTGCGTGCGTGTGTGTGTGTGTGCTGTGCGTAAATGCGTGCGTGCGCGTGTGTGTGTGTGTGTGTGTGTGCGTGTGTGTGTGTGCGTGTGCGTGTGAGTTTATGTGTGCGTGCGTGCGTGCGGGCGTGTGTATTTGAGTGTGTGTTTGTGTGCGTGCGTGCGTGTGGGCGCGTGCGTGTGTGTGTGTGTGTGTATGTGGTTGTGTGTGCGTGCGTGCGTGTGAGTGTACGTGTGTGTGTGTGAGAGTGTGTGTGTGTGTTTTTGCGTGCGTGCGTGCGTGTGTGTGTGTGTGTGTGCGTGTGTGTGTATGTGTATGTGCGTGCGTGCGTGAGTGTGTGTGTGTGTGCGTATGCGTGTGCGTGTGTCGTGTGCGTGCGTGTGCGTGTGCGTGCGTGCGTGCGTGGGCGTGGGCGTGGGCGTGTGTGTGTGTTTGTGTGTGTGTGTCTCGTGTGTGTGTGTGTGTGTGTGTGTGTGTGTGTGTGTGTGTGTGTGTGTGTGTGTGGGGGGGGGGGGGGGGGGGGTGCGCGTGCGTGCGTGCGTGCGTGTGTGCGTGTGTGCGTGCGTGTGTGTGTGTGTGTGTGTGTTGCGTGTGTGTGTATATGTGTGTGCGTGCATGCGTGCATGCGTGCGTGCGTGCGTGCGTGCGTGTGTGTGCGTGCGTGCGTGCGTGCCTGCGTGCGTGTGTGCGTGCGTGCGTGTGTGTGTGTGTGTGCGCGCGTGCGCGTGCGTGCATGCGTGCGTGTGTGCGTGTGTGTGTGTGTGTGTGCATGCGTGCGTGCGTGCGTGCGTGCTTGCGTGCATGCGTGCGCGAGCGTGCGTGTGTGTGTGTGTGTGTTTGTGTGTGCATATGGGTGGTTGTGGGTGTGCGCGCGCTCGCCCCCATTCGACTGTCTACGACGCGCCGCCGCGCGCGTCGCGGCAACGCAAACAGCGCGCGCGCGTGTGCGTGTGTGTATGTGTGTGTGTGCGTTTGTGTCGCAAGCCGACAAGGCGTCACAAGACAGCGCTCCACGCGGTGTCAGAAACCAACGTTCACGTCATCACGACGCGAACCCACAGATGGATGTTTCTGCATCTGTTGCTTGAGGATCCGCCGTGCTGCACAGTGCTCGCACCGTGCAAGTGACTTGGACATGCCATCCATACTCGCATGTTGCAGCTCCAGGCGAGGTGCCCTGGCAGAAGCAGGGCGGTGCCAGCCAAGCGCTTGGAGAGGACGAGGAGGAGGTTTCTGCGCCCGTAGACGTGGCCCCAGAGGCAGCAGGACGTGTGCAGCGCCCTCCCTTCGGCGTCACCCTAGCATACTTCTACTATCTGTGCATCGCCCCCGCAGGGGCGACGCGCGCACCGAGAAGTCTTCTAGTATATGCGTCGTGGGGGGCGTTTTCTGGCCACACCGCTCGCGAAACGATAGACTACAAGATAGGTATACTAGATGTTCGGGTCGGACGCGCGCCTCCGAGGAGGACGTACAGTATTGGTGTGTCTCTGTGCGTCCCATCCCTCGTCTGCGGAGCTCGTGGATCGAGGGCCCTCTTCGTGTTTGCCTCCCTGGGGCCTCCAGAAGTCTCCAGTGGGGCCCTCCGCGGGGGACTCCTCGGCGGGCCTCCGCGGGGAGCTCCCCTCCTGCCGGGGGCTCCGGAGGACCTCCCCGTGTCGTCTGCCGAAAGAGGCCAGCCGTGGACAGAGGCTAAAGGCCGAGGAGGAGGAGGAGGAGGAGGAGGAGGACGCGGAGGAGGAGGAGGTTGGACGAGGAGGAGAGAGAGAGAGGAGAGGAGGAGGACGCGGAGAGGAGGAGGGGAGGAGGAGAAGAGGAGGAGGATTGGAGGAGAGGAGAGGAGGAGGAGGAGGAGGAGGAGGGAGGAGGAGGAGGAGGAGGAGGAGGAGGAGAGGAGACCATTATGGCGCGTCAAATAGCGGGAAAATAGTGGGAGGGAGGAGGGAGGAGGAGGAGGAGGAGGAGGAGGAGGAGGAGGAGATTGACGACGACGACGACGACGACGACGACGGACGACGAGGAGGAGGAGGAGGAGGAGGAGGGAGGAGGAGGAGGAGGAGGAGGAGGAGGGAGGAGGAGGAGGAGGAGGAGGAGCCCCCCCCCCCCCTGAGCGGCGCCTTGGGCGCTGCCCTTGGCGCGCTCCGCGCGCCAGGAAACAGGGGCAACGATACGGGGGGATAGGCATAGATGGAGATGCATCGACCCCCAATCACTCATGAATCGCCGACTGGAGTCTGATGGCCCCAACCTGCCCAGGAACGCGCGGATTCACCATCGGGGGCCTATCGCCGATCTATCGGCGATGTATCGCCGATTCCAGGTCGATCCGATGTTTCCCCCCTATGCCTATCCCCCCCTATCGTTGCCCCTCAAGGGGAGTGGGGCTCATCAAATCCGCGCGCACCTCTGTGAAAATATGTGTTTTTCCTCCGCCGTTTGGGTTGCCTCGTGGGGACGTCCTGGGGTAGCCTGGACACCGCTCGGGGGGCCGCCCTGTGCCACCTCTCGGGGCCCGTCCGGCCGTGTCCAGAAACGTCTTGCCCTCCACGGGCGGCTTCGAAGGGCCACCGATCGTTTTGACGAGCATGCGCGCACCAGAATAGATCCGTCTGGGGGGCGTCATGGGCGTCTCGGGACTCATCGGCGGGGCCCTCCCGGAGAGATCTGACGGCACGTTGCAAATTCCATAGAGCCTCTTGGAACTGCTTTTGGAGGCCGGCGCTGACCCATGGACCAGACCGTGTAAGCGCCGCCCGCGGCCCACTCCTCCTCGTCGCATCTTTCGTTTGGCCTTTGCCAGCGCCCTCAAGCGTATCTTCACCCTCCGCAAGTGGCAGCCCCTCGGAGAGTCAGTCGTCGACTGTGTTACCTCATTGGCTCCGTGCCAGGGTTCAGCAGACTTGGCACGTCGTCTGGCATATCACCTGCGACTTGCCGAGTCCAGTTTGAAGATAGGCCGTGCCCACAGACGTCTCCGAGGAGTTGCCACCCTGCATGCAACCGTCCGTGAGCCAGGTGCACCCGCAGGTGCCCGGCCGCCCTGCCTGACGCCGGTGCCGTGACAGCCGCTTGCGGGGCGCCTCTCGATGCTTCTCCGGGCGCGCCCGCCTTCGCTGGCTGAAGCGATGACGTTGCTCAGAGCCCCGAATCATCAGGGGTAACTCGGGTCAGGGATAACTCGGGTTCCTTTTTCGGGAATCCAAACCCGAGTTACCCCGGACCCGAGTTACCCCGGATAATTCGGGCGTCCAGAGCCCCAGAATCATCAGGGGTAACTCGGGTCAGGGATAACTCGGGTTCGTTTTTCGGGAATCCAAACCCGAAATACCCCGGACCCGAGTTACCCCGGATAACTCGGGCGCCCAAGTTGCTATGGCGGTCCGTAGTGTGGCCTCTGACACGGCCGAATTCGTCGCCGTCAGGCGGTGCTGTTGGCCACCCAGTCAGTGAGGAACACGAGTGGCACGAGCGCGAACTCTCGAAGGTCCGCTCGGATTTCTGGGGTCGGCGCTGTGCCCCCCCCCCCTGGCGGCGCCTCTGGCGCTGCCCCTGTCGCGCCCCGCGTGCCAGTGAGGGCGGATTCGGGGCCGATCCGAGAACCCCGTGCGGACCTCCGAAAGCTCATGCTTGCTCGTGCTCGTTTCTGCTTCTGGCCTCGATGGCTCGGTGGCTGGACGATCGGGGCATGTTCTGGCCGGTGGTCGAGCAGCCCTCGGTGGCGCGCAGAAGGGGTGCGGGGCGAGGCGGAGCAGCCTTCTGACGGGGAGCCGGGCCTCGGGGAATCCCTCTGGCCCTCCGAGGATCACTCGTCAGAAGCATCTCGGCATCTCAGCTTTGGTAGATCCCTCCAAAGGAGCTCCCTGCGCTCTCGGGAAAGCCGCTCCCCCCCCCCCCGGCCCTCAGTGTGTGCTCCGCCGTCGCCGCGAGGTGCTCTGCCTGATTGCCCTGTCCGATGGTTGTGGTGCGTCGGGCACGTGCGATGGATGCGGGCTGTGTGTGAACGACGTTCCCCGCCATCTAGCCAACAGAGCTACGCCTCGGCGACGATGCGACTGAGACTGTAGACTCCTACGCGCAGCGTGGACTCGGATCCGCTGATGCTGGCCAGATGCTTCTCGACATGACTGGCAGGCAAGGTATAGACATGCCGCGCATGTTTTGATTTTGCGGCCTAATGGCGAGCACGTTAGTTTTTTATCGTCCTCACCGTCCTTCTCGCTCCACACATAACTACACGACGATGAGAGGGGGAGAGATACCATTCATACAAAATGGTGTGTTCTCTCGCCTTTCTCTCCTCTCACCCTCCAGCTGTCGTCGCAGCCGTCTCGTCCACACCTGTTCCTCAAGCGATTCCGGAGGGCCCCGCGGCCCCCCGAGGGTCGCCCGATGGGGGCGCCCTTCTCCACGCCCCTCGCCCGCCACAACGCCCCCGTTCTGGCGAGGAGGTTGCACCATGTGGAGGGGGAGCCAGATGGAGGGGGACAGTCAAGCGTCTCCCTTTCATCCCCGGCAGTCAAGGGTCCGCGTGCTTCCATTTCCGCGTCCCGTCTCTCTGCCCCCCTTCCTCATGCTCATCCGCCTCCCTCCCTTCTGCTTCCTCCGTGTCCTTTCTCCTTCTTCCCTCTCTGTCTTTTCATTGTCCTCCATCGCTGGGAGGTGTTGAAGAAAGCGCATTCCCTCCTAATTAACCCCGTCTCCTACTCATTTCCGTTGCCCAGCCCTTAGTGCTAGGCTCTCTGGAATATAGCGCGACATCGGATTTGGGCGAGTAGAGCGCCTGTGATGCAGATGTCGTGCGATAGTGCATGCGCTCCCTGCCCTCACATGTAGGGGTGGAGCCAGGAACACCCACTCCGCCCCCCCTCCTTGCCCTACTCCCTCCCCCCTGCTCCTCCTCTGCCTCCTCCTCCCCGTCCGCCCTTTTCGTCCTCCCTCATTTCTCCTGCTCCTGGGGGGGTCGGGGCCGAGCGTTCCTGCCTTTGCTCCACGGACGTGGAGCCCTACTCCCTCCCCCCTGCTCCTCCTCTGCCTCCTCCTCCCCGTCCGCCCTTTTCGTCCTCCCTCATTTCTCCTGCTCCTTGGGGGGGTCGGGGCCGAGCGTTCCTGCCTTTGCTCCACGGACGTGGAGGTAAGAATTGGCCAACGATTGGCTGTTGTCTATGCTTTCATTTCCCGCGCTATTACTGGCGCCCGAGCTCGGCTTCCTCTGGCCGTAGGTATTGCATGTGTCCCGCGTTAACCTTAGCGTCTGTGCTCCCTCCGACCCTCGTATTTCATGTTGCAGTTCATCCTGAATCTGGACACACCACGACGGTTAGGAGGCGAAGGAAGGGGACAGGACCATGGACGACGACAACAATGGTGATGATGAGAGTTCGCAGGCGGTGATGCTGAAAGTCAGACGTGGCGTCTAGGAGTGGAAGAGCGAAGGCGGTAAAGGAAGAAGAGGAGGAAGAGTAGGATAAGCATTCAAGCTGAGACATAGCGCGCTGCAGGAGGCCCGAAGAGCAACAAAAAAGAGGGCCCGTCTTCAAGTTGCGTCCCCTGCTTGCTCCAGGGCAGGGGATCCGTAGCCATGTGGGCTAAAGTTCGAGCCGCAGCCGCAGCCGTGTTGCCCCGTCCCGCACACGCGCTCACCCTCCGGCACGGGCCCAGCGCGTCGCCCGCCTCGAGCGACCGCGCCACGTCGGCGTGGCGTGAGGCTGGCATCGGCCTGCCTCCTCCTCCGCCTCCGCCATCGAGGCTGCCCTCGGCGCCGCCGCCGCCCCGGGCTCTTCCTGTTCCTCGGCCTCCTCGCCATTCGCCGCCGCCCTCCTCTTCCTGGAATTCTGCCGTGGCGCCGTCCTCAGCTGCTCCAGTTCATCTCTGCCAGGAGTTCAGTGGCCAGGCATCCTTGCGCTTCCCTCGCCCCCCCGGGCACGATCTTCCAGTCTCGTGGCGCAGCAGTGGCGGCAGGACCAGGCCCCTCGTCTGAGATGCTCTCGTCTCTCCCGGTTCCACGTCCTCGTGGTGTGTTCGGAGTTGCATATTCAGGCTGCTATTGCAAGGCCAGCGGCATCGACTCCGAGGGTTGCACGGCCAAATCCTCCGGAGCAGAAAGTTCACCAACCGTTCTTCGTCACATCCGTTGGAGCCGTTTGTCCACGATTCCGCGCATATCAGAGATTTGTGTCAGGTGTCGCTCCCCTGTCCTGTCTGCCTCAATCGGGTGCCACTTGTCGTCTCCGCAGGCTTGCCCCCGATCTCCTCGCGAGGTTGTTGCCAGGCGTCGCGTTGTGTAAGGCCAGAGCAAGTGTCATTCCTTTCGCCCGCCCACGCTGCTTCGCCTCGCCCGCACGCACGACAGGAACACGAAGCCACAATTGATTTGCGGAGTGGTCGTTTCGGCTTCGTGTTCGTGTCGCGCGTGCGGGCGACGCTGAGCTGCAGGGGCGCGCGAGAGGAGTGTCCCCGCCGTCGCCAGGGCGATTCGCATGCAGTGGACCGCTTCTCCGGCCCCCTTGTGCGCTCGGTGGCCTGGGGTGTCTCGCCGTGGTGTTCTGACGCGTCCCGTTGGTCTCCCGCTCGTCGGTGTCCCGTCGGCGGTGGGCGGGCGGTGGCCGGGGATGTCTTGCCCTGGTATCGGTAGTGAAGTCGATAGTGAGATCGCTAATGAGATCTCGAGTGGGATTTGGTAATGAGATCAAAAGCGAGATCGACAGTGAGGTTGTCTGTGGTATTGGTTGTGATATTGATAGTGAGGTCGATAGAGAAATCGATAGTGAGATCGATAATGCGATCGATCTAGAGATCTGAAGCAAGATCGATAGCGAGATCCATCGTGGGATCTACAGTGAGATAGACCGAGTGTGATCAATCCTGTGAGATCGATCGAGTGAGATCGAAAGTGGGGACGATAATGACAGTACATTGCAGCGCAGCATCGTCATCACGCGTCGTCGCTAACTCGAGGGCGCGTCACCAGCATCGTCATCATCATACCCATCGCATTTGCCAGGAGTTGATTAACTATTCCCCTCGCACCCCCAACCTCCTTATCGCCCGAAGGGTGGTCGTATAGGTGAAGATCACGACAAACCGGGGGAATCGAAGCAGTGGTTCAGGATCGGTCCCTTCCACTTGTTCCTGCTCTGGTCCCTTGTCTCCTGTTCACCCCTGGCAGATCTCTCGTGATGTTCGAGCCCCGTCCAGCCTGGGCGCATTCATCAGCTTGTCTGTGTGATCGTCTTCTCGGCCGCATCCCTCCTCCCTCCTCTTGCATGGTGGCACAATTCGGCCCAACCGTACCCCCGTTCATGCCATTCATCGCCAGCGCAGTCACCCTCTACCTAGCCGCCGACGTAAAAAGCGTGATAGTCTTCTGTGTCTGTCTTTTGATTTGGTGGAGTTTGAAGCCATGGCCAATACCATTCTTCTTCGACGTTGACCTTGAACGTGTTCAAGCTTCTCCGCAGCTTTCCCCCCCACGGGGCGCCTCCCCTGATTCCCCCTCGACTGGAGAAGAGGAGCATTGCCAACCCTACCCCTGCGCCGGGCACGTCCCTCTGCAGGAGGACAGTCCAAAAGTAGTGAAAAAAACAAAAAGATGGGGATGATTGTCTACTATTTGTGAATATTTTGACTATATTTTGAAGTCGTTGGTTCAGAATCCGCCGTAGGAGGGCATGCCCGGCCAAACGCTTCCCCCGCTTTCCCAGCACCTGCCTCTGCTGCCTCTGCTGCCCCGTTTGAGGGAGCCCGACGCCCTCCTGGGGACGGGCACGTGGAGCGGGTATACGTCCCGCCTCTAACGGTGTGTCTTCGGGGGGCCTCGTGTGTCCTACAAATCGCTGCCTTATCGTGTGCCCGATGCGCTTTCGACGCGGGTTCGACGCGGACTTGGCGTGGATTCGACGTGGAGTCGACGCGGAATCGACGTGGATTGGACGCTTAGTCGACAAATTCGGCATGGATTCGAACCGGATTCGACGCGTATTGCGGGCGTGATGGGATTGACGAGGTCCCACGATGATGCAACGTAACCTTGCGGCCTCAATTAGAGTGTACCCTCCCCACCGCCGGGCATGTCCCCACTGATGAATCAGTGGATTGGACTCGCGCGGCGCAGTGGCAGGCTGCGAGCATGCCTGCTGGGGCGAGCCTCAGATTTGGCGGCACGGCGGCAAAGGGTGCATGGCCTGGATGGGGAGGGAGTAGGAGGAGGAGGAGGAGGATCAAGTTGATGACAGAGGAGTCGAGGGAACCGGGATACTATGTCAGACAGCTGGATACACGACGCGGCCAGTGTTGGCGAGAGTTTGATACACGTGTTGCCAGATGTCTTTCTAGGGCTCGGCCCTTGTATGGCAGTACATGTCGGGCTTCCGCATGTGCATTCAGTGCGAAGCTTCCAGATGTACCACATATGATTCACTTGAGTCCACTCATGTGTGTTTCTGGATTCGGCATGAACGGATAAGAGCGCAGAGAAGTGCCAGAGCAAGCGCCAATATCCGTCATATTCTCGCTCGGGTTGATTCGACAGATTTTTGTTCAAGCCAAACTGGCCCGAGCTTTATTTGTCCGCTCCTATAGTGAACTGGTCAAGTTTCAATTGTTTGGTAAGAGTTGGCTGTTCCTTGGTATTTCGTCATTTGACGCTGCATGTTGTTCATGACGTGCAGAAAAAATACAAGGAATATATCCCGCTCATCGTGCATTCCCCTCTTTGCCAAGCTACAGCTGCTGCCAGCGGCTTCTCCATTAGCGCTTTTACTAAGGTGGTGCCAGGCTCATGAAGAGTGGGGTCTGTCGGTGAGGTCCAGTCGTGGGTGGCCGCGCCTGTAACTGTTACGTTCGCGAGGGTCGGGCTGCTATAGCAGCGAGAGGGGGGCCAGTTTCTGGGCCTCCCACGTTGGGTAGGCGTCTCGGCGCGTGCGCGACGACCTTCCCCGCAGCGCCGTATCCCCGCTCCTCCCCCTCCTCGTCCTCCTCCTCCCCCAGGATCCCCCTCCCCCCTCCCTCCCTTGGCCCTGCTGCCTGCAGCCCCTTCACCCGGAGCCCGAGCCCCCAGTTCCAGGCTGGCGCGCGCGCAAGCGATGCGCACCGGGACCCGGAAGCGGAAGCGCCGCCTTGATCGGGGGCAACGATAGAGGGGGGGGAAACCCAGAGATCCAGCGTATTGAAAAAATCAAGACGGAGGTTTTTCGCCGATTTCGGCCCTCGCCAGCCCCCGAGACCGTCAAAAAACGACTCAGGATGGAAAACCGTTCCCGGGGAATGGGTCGAGACTTCTGGGAGGACCGTATTGAAAAAATCATGACATCGGATTTGTGGGAAGGCACAGAGGGGGGATGCACCGTCCTCCAATCGCCCACTGATCGCCGTCAGGGGGCCGATGGCCCCAGCCTGCACATAGGAAGGTGCGGATATTCACGATCGGGGGCCCATCGCCGATCCATCGGCGACGCATCCCCGATCCCAGGTCGATGCATCCCTCCCTAACTGCCAGTCCCCCACGATCGTCACCCCTCACATGAGGAGGCGCCTGGCGACGCCGGCGCCAGCGCCGGCGGGCCAGACGACCCCAGCGGCGCCCTCGCGGCGTGGCTCGCCGCGCGCGGCGTGGAGTGGCTGGACGCGGTGGCCACCACTCGGGAGGGCGTGGTGGCTGGCTGGGGCTGCGTGGCTTCCGCGCCGATCCCGGAGGGCGCCGTGGTGTGTCGCGTGCCGCGGGCGGCATGCTTCGGCGCGCGCCGGGCGCACGCCGACGCGGACCCGCCGGCCAGGGACAGCCAGGCCTCGAAGAGGAACCCTGCAAGACGTATCTAAAGATAATCGATGTGTTTAGATGCGATCGCGCCCTGGTGCAGGCGATAAGTGTCCTATCTAATATTCTGGAACGACAAAATTGAGATCAGTGTCAGATGCGCGCCCCTGGCCTTCACGGGAGCGCCGCCGTATCCAGTCGCATTCTTTTTTCAAGCATATCTTAAACATTGGGACCGTATCTATCTGAGATATCTCTTGAATAACGCCTCTGTATGTGTATGCCTGCATGCTTGCATGCAAGCATGCATGTGTGTATGCATGTATGTATGCATGTATGTATGTATGTGTGTATGTATGTATGTATAAATGTATGTATATATGTATGTATGTTTTGCATGTATGTATGTATGTATATATATTTGTATGGATGGATTGATGGATGGATGTATGTATGTATGTATGTATGTATATGTATGTTTGTATGCTTGTATGTATGTATGTATCTATGTATGTATGTATGTATGTATGTATGTATGTGTGTATGTATGTATACACGTGTATGTATGTATGTATGCATGCATGCATGCATGCATGCATGCATACATGCATGCATGCATGCATGTATGTGTGTATGTGTATATGTATGTATGTATGTATGTATGTATGTATGTATGTATATATGTATGTATGTATGTATGTATGTATGTATGTATACATGTATGTATGTATGTATGTATACATGTGTGTATACATGCATGTATGTATGTATGCATGCATGAATGCATGTATGCGTATGTGTGTATGTATGTATGTATGTATGTATACATGTATGTATGTATGTATGTGTGTATGTCTGTCTGTCTGTCTGTCTGTCTGTATGTATGTATGTATGTATGTATGTATGCATGCTTGTATGCATGTATATATATATATGTGCGTGTATGTACGTGTGTGTATGTATGTATGTATGTATGTATGTATGTATATATGTATGTATGTATGTATGTAGTCATGTATATGCATGTATGCATATACACACTATGTATGTATATATGATTGCATGCATGCATGTATGCATGTACGTGTGTATTACGTATGTATGCATGTATGAATGTGTGTATGTATGTATTCATACATGTATGCATAAATTTATGTATGCATGTGTGTATGCATGTGTATATGCATGCATGCATGTATGTATGTATGTAGGCATGTAGGTATGTATGTATGTATGTATGTATGTATGTATGTATGTATGTACACATATATATATATATATTAGATAGTCATTCGTATCTATGTCCAAAGACTGCTGCGCCGTATAGATTCGTATCTGTTCTGTCAGAACGGATGCTGTTGGCTGTGCCCTCGGAGCCAACAGGTTTTATAAGTTTGGCCGAAGCAATGAGCAATGGGGTGGGGATGGTGGGAAGCCGTAGCGATAAGGAGTGAGGAAATGAGCGACGGCGACAAAGACGACTAGGAGCAGAATGGATAACATCGCTGAAACGAAATTTGGGAGCGAATTGGGAAGGACCATGGAACCCTAGGAGGGGGAGAGCAACGAGCAGGAGGTTTCGGAGGACGAGGAGGATGCGTCAAATCGAGAGTGAAAGGGGTGGTGCGGGCAAGGCGAAGAGAAGATGAGCACCGAGGAGGGCGGATGATGACGATCCACGAGTCAGGAGCGAGAGTGGTCGATCGCGGGCGTGCGCAGAGGACTCGAGGGACGATCGCCATGGCGGTACTGGGGATGGCGAGGAGGAGCATGAGGGTGACCATTGCGGGGGAGTGCCGAGGAGGTTGGCGAACATGGGGAGTAAATCACGGGACGCCTGAGGGCGAATTTGGGAGGAGTACGGGGGAGTAGGAGGAGGATGAAGAGGAGGAAGAGGAGGAGAACTGTGAGGACGAATTGGATGCGTGAGGACGAAATGTTCGATGAGGGTGCATAAGGATTATGATGTGGAGGCATGGGGAGGAGTGATTTGGACGATGGGCGCGGACGAGGGTGAAGATGAGGGCGCGCGGCGAGGAGGCAAGAAGAGCGAGGTGGATGGAGCAGGACAGAGCGTCAGGAGGATAACGTGGAGAAGGGGGAGCCCGGACGGGTATACAGCAGAGCAATGCTTGAAGAGAGTGGCTTCTCTGCTTCGTCCTCCTCGTCACCGTGATCGTTCGGTTCGCCAACCGTCCCCGCTATCCCATCGGTTCGTCATGATTTCCTTCTCCTCCTCCTCATCGTTGTCGTCCTGACTGGCATGTGCATTGTCTTCCCTGTTCGTGGTCATTGAGCGGCTTCGGCATGGCAGTGATACGGCGCCGCATCGATTCGCATCTGTTGTTGGTAGACATTTTTCCAGCAGCGAACGCCATATTGATCCGTATTTAAACATTTCTCAACGCACACACACACATACATGTGTATATATATATATATATATACATTCGTATCTGAACGTGACCCCGTATCTAAACATAGTAAGTAAACATGTTCTCCTTATCGCCAGAGGTAAGCAATCGTATCTAGACGTACCTGTTGTTGCGGGATATCCACTCGCATCTAATGTTCTTCCAGAAAAGGATGTAAAACACACATGGTCAAGGGAGGAATTATAGATGCCGCACGGCCCTTCCGAATGCAGCCGCCGCTGGGGAAACGAGCAATCAAAACAGATCTGCTGACGTGTATTCCAGGGGGTCGATGACCCTCACCAGGGCGTGCGTTAGACCCAGAGATCGAACGCGTCGAACAAATCAAGACGGAGACTTGTTCGCAACCGTCGGCATCTTGGGGCCTTCGCCGGGCCTCGGGACCGCCAAACAACGGTTCAGGATGACAAACCGCTCCTGGGAAATGGGACGAGACTTCCGGGGGCCCCGCGTTGAAAAAATCACGACGTCGGATCTCTGGTGCCCAAGTGGGTGTTCACCCTGTTCGGCTCAGCCGATGGCGCACAGCCTGCGTCGGCCCTCGTTGCGCCGCCGTTCGTCGCATGGAGGGGCCTCCGTGGACAAGCGCAGGCTGGCACTAACGCGCGCTCCGAGGAACATCGAACATAACAGAAGAAAAACGGAGTAATTGGGAAACGCGCCTGAACAATCAGAGGTTTTCGAAGGTCCGCGGTGATTTCTCGGATCTGCGCTGGGCCCCCAGGCGGAGCCTCCTCACCAGCTAACGTAGGTATGGTAATGAATGAACGCGCATTTTCGGGGCCGCGCTCGACGAGCTCCGCGCGCCGGGGATGTGGGTCCAGCGCGGATCCCAGGAGTCCGCGCGGACCTGCGAGAGTTTGAGGGGGAACGGCACGGGGGTTAGCGGACCGCGGAAACTGCAGGGCCGTTTTTTCTTCGTTTCCGAAGCAGTGTCTCTGGAATGTGTAAATGGCAAAACAACGGCGACCGGAAACGGCTAAAGAACGGCTCCACGATTGGAGCCGGAGCCGCAACTGGGAAACTAACGGCGACGGAACCGGCAAACAAAATCGCGTCGGATCCGGCAAAAACCAGCGAAACGGAAACTGTAACAAAAACGGTCTTGCCGGTTCCAGGGCCCATTGAGGCAGGGGGGGCTGCTGTCCCAGGGTGGGAAACATTGACCTGGAATCGGCGACACATCGCCGATAAATTAGCGATAGGCCCCGACAGAGAAGCTAGGCAGTTACATGTGAACCCTACCCGTGCAGGTCAGGTTTGTGAAAGACGGGCTTGGTTTCAGATTCCAGGAGAGATTTGCAGCTAGGTGAGCCCCCGCGGGGGTGTCCTGTACCCCAGCGTCGAGCGCACAGGTAATTATGGGTAGGGTTCGCATTGGTCTCAGCGTCTAGTGGGTCACAATTGGCCACTGGACCCCAACGTCGAGTGAAGCCGCACGTTCCTGCGCACCTTGGGATCTCAGGACCCCATCGGCGATGAATGGGCGGGTGGGGGTCGATGCATCTGCCCCCGAGCCTGTACCCCCCTTCGTGGTGGTCGTTGAATGTAGGTGTTTGGGACTCTGGAGATCCCAATATACTTCATGCGCCTTCGTACGTCAGGAACGGACAGGTAATTATCATTCCCCATCCGACAGGTTGGGGCTAATAGAGATTCAGAAGACCTGCCTCCCGATCCGCTCACCCTGCATACCACAGCCGCCAGGTCCCTAGGTCCACCGAGCGTCCCCCGAGTATTCAGCCACCCGCGCCTTCGACGAGCATGACAGAACAGAACGCGAGAAAGTATGACAGAACTGAGCATGACAGGCACATGGCCGATTGCAACACGACAGGGCAGAGCATGACAGAAGAGAGCACAACACAACATCACATAACATACCAGAGCAGAACATGGCATAACACATCAAACTTGTCCCCCACCAGGCAGGTTGGGGCGTGCTCCCCACCCGAAATTTTGTAGTGGTTCGATTTTTTGAGCAGACTTCCCGACCGGCCCAGCCTGCAAACCGGAGTCGCCAGATCCCCAGGTCCACCGAGTATCCCGCCACCCGTGCTTTTGACGAGCATGGCAGACCAGAACAGAAAGGAGCATGACAGAACAGAGCATGGCAGGGACATGACAAAAGAGAGCATGACAGAAGAGAGCATGACAGAGCAACACTATCAGAGCAGAACATGACAGAAACCATCAGACCTTTCCCCACCCGACAGGTTTTTGGTCGTCACGTTTTCAGAATAGACCTCCCGACAGGCCCAGCCTGCATACCGCGGCCGCCAGATCCCCAGGTCCACCGAGTGTCCTCCGAAGTATCCCGCCACGCGGGCCCTCCGACGAGCCTCTTTTTCAGAACTGAGCAGAACGGCGCTCAGGAGAACGCAGGGGATGGGAGAGCAGGACCGAACATGCCACGAGGGAGCAGGGCACGACAGAGGAAAGCATGACCTGGCACCGCATGGCATAGCAAGACGTCAGACCTGCTCCCGCCTCAGAACCCCTCGGCGCCAGCGGCGGCGGCCCCCCTGCCAGCGGGCGCCCGGCGCTTGAGTCCGACTCCCCCGGGGCCCGCGCGGAAGAGTTGGTTCGGGCGGGGGAGGTGCAGCTGCCGGGACGGGGGTCGCGCGGCAGTCGGAAGTGTGCGAGCACGACAGTGCGGGCGAGGAGCAGGAGGGGGAGGAGGCAAGGGGAAGGAGGAGGAGGAGGAGGAGGAGCAGAAGGAGAAGGAGAAGGAGGAGGATGAGGAGGAGGAGGAGGAGGAGGAGGAGGAGAGGAGGAGGAGGAGGAGGAGGAGGGAGGGGGAGCAGGAGGAGGGAAGGAGAAGGAGGAAGGTTTTGTGGCGTTAACGTGGCATGCTACGCGTGTCTGTGCTCTGGCTGCAGCAGGTTGCGTCGATCTGCCCCCTGGGAGGCATGCAACATAAAAAGAAAATGTGGGGGCCGCCCTGCCACGGCGCCCTCCGGTGATGATCAGCAGCGCGCCGGGCCTCGCGGAGGAGGACGGGTGGAGGAGGGAGGAAGGGATGGGAGGAGGAGGAGGAGGAGGAGGAGGAGGAGGAGGAGGAGGAGGAGGAGGAGGTGAGGAGGGAAAGGAGGAGGAGGAGGAGGAAAAGGACAGACGTCGAAGGTTTCGGGGCGGATTGCTCGAAGCAAGGTAATGTGTTGCATTTCCTTGCGCCAGCCCGAACCCAATCGGCTTTATCCGCCTTCCTGCTTCATGCCTCCACCTACTTCTTCCGACTGGCGGGCAGCTTTGCCCCTGAAATGTTTTATGTACAGAGGAGACTCATGCCAAGAAACACCCTGATTGCCTCCAGGGTGCTCTTGGTTCTCAGGTTTCGATGGTTCTGCCATGGAAAGCGTGACGCTCCAAAATCAAAAATGCCAATGGACGTCCTGGGGTTCCAGGGTTGGGTTCTTTGTGGCAGGTTTCTTGTGGTCGGGCTGCCGGTCATTGCAAACATTAGCCTGACGAAAGACCCAACCATATGCAGCTGCGAGTACCGCGTTGTGAGTACCGCTTCCGGAGGAGCTCCTTATGGGGCCACGACTTGTGTGAGGGACGGGGCGCGGCGGTGCCATGCGAACCCTCCCATTGGAGCCTTCGGTGAAGCATCCTCTGGGGCCACGAACCGTGTGCGGGGGTGTATCGGATTGGGTGCGGTGGTGCCATGCGAACCCTCCCACTGGAGCCTTCGGCGGAACTCCCTATGGGGCCACGAACAGTGTGAGGGGTGTGCCGGATTGGGCGCGGTGGTGTCATGCGAATCTGCCATTGGAGCCTTCGGTTGAGCTCCTTATGGGGCCACGAACCTTGTGAGGGGTGTGCCGAATTGGGCACGGTGGTGCCATGCGAACCCGCCCACTGGAGCTTTCCGTGGAGCTCCCCATCGAGCCACGAACCGTGTGAGGGGTGTGCCGAAGTTGGGCGCGCGGCCAGCGGGGAGGGCGCATGCGGACGCGGCCACTGGGGCTTGCGGTGGGGCTCCCTATGGGGCCACGAAGCGTGTGAGGGGTGTGCCGAAATGAACGCGTGGTGGGCGGGGAGGGACGCAGGCGGACGCGGTCATTGGGGCCTTCGGTGGAGCTCCGTATGCGGCCACGAGCCGTGTGAGGGGTGTGCCGAAATGGACGTTCGGAGGGTAGAGGCAAGGAGGGGGAGGAGGAAGAAGGAGGAGGAGGAGGGAGGAGGGGGAGGGGGAGGAGGAAGGAAGGAACGCGGGGCGCTGTCTCTTCAAAACGAGGACCCAACACCACAGGATGGGTGGGAGAAATGCGACACTGCAAAAAGTCACGAGCGGAGCCCTGGACCCCATCTTCCTGCCCTGCATCATTCTTCACGCCGGATCGATCTGTGAGGGCCCCAGGGCCCGAGGTGGGGCGAAAACGCCCCGCTCGGAAAAGCTGATCCGCCAGGATCTCAGGGGCTTCGCCCCCGAAAGGTTTTGTGTCTGCACTGCAGCTGTGGCTGCTCCTGTCCTGCGGAGGCCCGGATGGCGCGGCTGCTGCTGCGCGAGCGCGCGGCCGGTTCCGGCTCGGCGTGGGCGCCGCTGCTGCGGGTTCTGTCGGCCGCGCAGTGCCCGTGGACCTGGCCGGCCAGCGGCCGCTGCTGCCTGGCCGGCACGGAGCTCGCGCCCGTGCTCGGAAAATCAAGCAAACCATCATGGGGGAAGCGAAGAAGAAAAAGCGGACATATAATTGTTTGCACTCCACGCGGATTTCTTGGATCCGCTCTGGGACCCCCTGGCGGCGCCTCCGGCGCCGCCCTATCGCGCTCCGCGCGCTAGGGAGAGGAGGTCCAGCGCGGATCCGAGAAATCCGGGCGGAGCGCCAACAGTTTCTGTTTTCGGCGTTCCTCTTCTTTTTCTTCTTCTTCTTATTATTATTCTTCTTCTCTTTCTTATTATTTCTCTTCTTCTTCTTCTTATTATTTTTTTTCTTCTTCTAGGTAGGGAATCGGGTCCTGAGGGAAACGGTCCTGAGTTGTTTCGCAGTTTTTCGGGCTACCAGGGCCCCGGGGCCGTCACAAAAGACGGTTCACGAGGCGGAGCTGGTCTTGGGGGAGAGCTCCAGGGTCCAGGAACCGTTTCCCACAAGGATCTGTTCCCGGCATAACCATACTGTCAGGAAGTTTGGCTTAGCGTGTCGCTCCGTTGGCTCTGGCCCACCACGGTTCGGCGCGACACGCTATCCACGGCGTGGTCCCGAGGCGTCGAAGCCCCGAATTTTCCTGAGCTTCCCGGTCTGCGGGGCGGAGCGACAAGTTGTCCGCTTGCAGCGCATAGCCTGACGCCGGGAGCGCCGCGGCGACACGCTGAGGAAAAAATCCGGACAGCAATTCTTCAGAGGTCCGATCCGGACTGCTTGGATCGGCGTTGTGCCCCCCTGGTGGCGCCTCCGGCGCCGCCCCTGGCGCGCTGCAGCGCAGGTCTAAGAAATCCGCGGGGACCTAGAAATTGTGCGTGATGCAGTTTGTCGTTGCTCGAGGTGCTGTGGGCGAAGCTGGTGCGCCTCGATACGGAGTACGAGAAGCTCCCGCGCGAGTTTCGCACGGGCAGGGCCGAGTACCGCGAGGTGTGCGCGCTCGTGTCGGCCACCATCAACCCCTGGTTCGGAGGCAGCATCGTCCCGTTCAACTGTACGCTGAACTACTCGAGCGCCCCGCCAAACGTGCGGTTCGAGAGCGACGAGGGGGGGCGCGCCGTCATCGGCAGAGCCCTGCGCACGGTGCAGGCGGGCGAGGAGCTGACCCAGGAGTTCGAAGAAGAAAGTAACCGCAAAACGCATCGCCTTTCTAGGCTTGAGTCGGGCACTGTCCCTCTACAGGAGTGGTATAAAAGAACAGGTCCCACACATCCTGTGGTGTTGGGTCCTCGTTTTGAAGAGACAGCGCCTCGCGTCTCGCTTCTTCATCCCGCTGCCCCCTCCCTCCTCCCATCCTCCCCCTCCTCCTCTCCTCCCCCACTTTGGCACACCCCTCACACGTTTCTTGGCCCCAATATGGAGCTCCACCGAAGGCCCCAGTGGCTGCGCTCGCATGGCAGCGCCGCATCCATGTCTGCACGCCACTCACGCGTTTCTTGGCCCCATAGGCAGCTCACCGAAGGCCCCAGTGGCTGCGCTCGCATGGCACCGCCGCACCAATTTCGGCACACCCCTCACACGTTTCGTGGCCCCATAGGGAGCTCAACCGAAGGCCCCAGTGGCTGCGCTCGCATGACACCACCGCACTCATTCGAGACACCCCTCACACGTTTCGTGGCCCCATGGGGAGCTCAACCGAAGACGATACCAACAATGGCGTTACTCACAACTGCATGGTTGGGTCATTCGCCAGGATAATTTTCAAAAGCGATGATTCGTGCTCTTTTGACTACTGTTGATTTTTGGGTTTGTTTCATTTTTCTTACAGAATCCGCCTGGCGGAGGACATGCCCGAACTAATTCCTTAATTCGGGGGCCAAGGTGAGGTGGGGAGCAGTCAGGCGCGAGAAAAGGACGTGCACGTACCTGAATCCACGCAGGACTCGAGAGTACGTATTGCGCGAACCTTCGTAGCACGAGTCCGGTCTCGCGGGTTGGGGGAGGGGTGTGCTCATGTACATGGTCGCTCGCGTACGTGTGTTTTGGGCGCTCCCTATAGACCCGAGATAGGCTCAGCGGGCGGGAGGGGGGGAGTAATCGACCCCTGATCGCCCAGCCGTTACCGGCAGGGGCCTCCGAGCCAACCCGCCCAGGGACGTGCGGTTTCGTCGTCGGGGGCCCATCTCGCCGACCTGTCGGCGACGTCTCGCTGCTTCCGGGGCAGCGCTTCCCACCCCGGGCCAGTGCCATCCTGGCCGTGCCCCCTCAGTCGGAGGTCCGCGCGGACTTTCGGACCTGCGCTGGACACCCCCTTCCCGTGGCGCGAGGAGGAGGAGGAGGAGGAGGAGGAGGAGGAGCCAGGGGCGGCGGCAGAGGCGGTCCACGAAGCGCCGGGGGGGGGGGGGGTCAGTGCCGGTCCACGGAAGCCGCGCGGACCTCCGCAAGTTTATGCTTGTAAGGTTTCTGCTCCTCCTCCTCCTCCTCCCCTCCTCCTCCCTCTCCTCCTCCTCCTCCTCCTCCTCCTCCTCCTCCTCCTCCTCCTCCTCCTCCTCCTCCTCCTCCTCCTCCTCCTCCTCCTCCCCTCTCCTCCGTGGCTGCTCCCCGCGGTGGGCCCCCCCTCTCGCGCTGCGGGGAAGCTGGCAAGGTCCACCACCCCACCCCACTGCATGTGGTCACTGAGCAGATCGGGCCGGACGAAAGGGGGGGATTGGGAAAGGGGGGGGACGAAATTTGCTGCATGCAGCTGGTTTCGGCCTCGCCGAGGGGCCCACTCCTCGATACATAGCCGCCTCCGGCGCCAGGAGGCGCCGGGAAAATCAGCTACGTGAGCTGATTCTCAAACCCCCCCTTCGCTATCCCCCCCTTTCGCCCGACCCGAGCAGAGTCATTGTCTCTCGAGGAGTACGCCGACTCCCAGGCCGACCTCATCTACCGCTACGGCTTCGCCGACCCGGCCCCGAGCGCGGGCCCCGGGCTCCGCGGCCGGCAGCGCGGTGGTCCGCCCACGGGCGACGTGGTGTCCATCTCGGTGGCGCAGGTGGTCGCGGGCTGCTCCGACGGGCTGCTGGACCTCGCAGGGTCCATGCCTCACAGGTGGGGTCGGAGGATCGCGCCGCATCGCCGGTGCATCGGCGATGTGGCTCGATGTGGAGCTCGATTGCCTCCGCGCCGACGTCGCCGGAATCATCGCCGACGCCGCCGATGCATCGCCGACGTCGCCGATCCATCGGCGATGCGTCGACGATGCGGAACGATCCTCCCATCACACCTACTCCGACTCCATCTGGGATGCCGCTGAAGAAGAAGAAAAATAAGAATAAGAAGAAGAAGAAGAAGAAGAAGAAGAAGACGAAGCACGTTCATAAACATGCGCTTCCTCTGAGCCCGCGCGAGTTTCTCGGATCGGCGCTGGGCCCGCTTTGCCGGGGTCTCCAGCGCCGCCGCCGCTGGCGCGCTCCGCGCGCTTGCCGGGGGGGGGGGCTCCCAGCGCCGATCCACGAAATCCGCGCGGACACTTCCCAAAGTGAGAGCCTTGGTAGTTATGCACTTCTGCCCTGCATCAAGGAGCCGCGGCGGATGGCGAGTTTGTTGAGGAAGTGGCTCTGATGCGTGAAGAGATTTCTAGGCATCCCATGCCCATGGACAGTTGTCGTTCTGATGCATGGCGCCTGCATGTTTCACAGCCGCGCCACCGGCAGAGGCTCCTGTCTGACCGCTCTACCAAAGCATCTTTGGCGTGCACGGCTTCTCTCTCTCTCTCTATTTCTCCCTCCCTCTCTCTCTCTCTCTCTCTCTCTCTCTCCCCCCCCCAGGAACCGTAAGCGTCGATTACACGTAGGAGTGACCCTTCGCAGGAGTGACCTGTGGTGCGGGTTCACTGCCTCCCCCCCATCGACCCCATCGACGAACGCGATGCGACAGTAGCGACTGGCGCGCTTGGGTTTGGCCCTCTCGCGGCCACCCGAAAGCCGCGCAGCAAAGGTCATTCTTGCCTAGGGCCACTCTTGCGTGTAGCCGACAATGCACAATTGGCGTGCACGGCTTCTCACCGCTCGGTGCTCAAGAGACGGGGTCAATGCAAAGGGGGGTTAGTCAGAGCGCCTGATCTTGCAGGATCCTGCAGAGCCAGTGGCGCATTGACCCGGGGTTGGGTGCAGGCTCTGGCAGGCTCCTGCACAGCCCGACTGGTCCGGGTCTGGATTGGCCCGGGTCAGTAGCAGGTCTCGATTTAGACGGTGTTGTGGCGATTTCGTGGGCCGTTTTCGTCTCGATGTTTTTGTTTCGGCAGAGGCGGCTTGCAGAAAGAACGAGTCCAAGCGAAAACGACACGGAAACGAACACCGCGGTTTAGGTCGCTCCCTGGTCGGTATGGAGCCCGAACCAGTCTGCCAATGCGCCTCCGGCGTGCACGGCTCTTCGCTCTCCAGACCCCCCACGTCATGATGTTTTTCATGACGTCGACCCCGCAGCGGTCTGGACCCAGTCCCCTGACCGCCTTTTCACCCCGAGCCGTCTTCTGGACGCTCCCAGGGCCTGGTATTGGGGGCCCCCAGTGGCCGAAGATACGGGAAAACCTCCCGTCGCGACGCTCCCAGGGCCTGGTGTGGGGGCCCCCAATGGCCAGAGGCCGAAGATCTGGGAAAACCTCCCGTCGCGAGTTCTTCCTGCCTCGAGGGGGGTCTGGCGGAGCGGCTCCTCGCTCTCTCGCCCTTCCCCCCCCCGAGGAGCCGCGGCGGCGGGCGCCCGCGGAGCGCGAGCAGCTCGGCGCGGAGGCGCTGCGGCTCGCGGGCGCGCTGGCGCCGTGCCCCTGGGACGGGCTGGGGCACGAGCTGACGGCGGAGCTGGCGGCGGGCGGCTCTCGGAGGGGGAGGGCCGATGACCCAGACCCCCCCTGGGTTCCGATTCGGTTCGGCTTCAGACTCCGACTTGGGCTCCGAGAGCTCTCCATGGAGGCCTGCGGAGGCCTACGGAGGCCTGCCGATGCCCGCCGATTCGACTGCTCCGACTCGGCTGCCGCTTTCCGCCGATCCGACTCATTTCGATTGCAGATCCGACATCGACCCGATTCTGGGCTCTCCTGCCGACCGGGGCCCCGGCCCGGCACCGGCCCTCGGCGTTTCAAATATTCGAGGCTTCCCAGACCCCCTCGAGTCATGAGAAAATCAAGACGGGAGGTTTTTCCATATTTTCGGCCTCGGGGGGCCCCTATACCGGGCCTCAGGACCGTCAACAAAAAGAAGACTGGTCCCAGGGAAGGGGTCCAGACTTTGGGGGGTCGACGTCATGAAAACATCGTGACGTCGGGGGTCTGGGGGAGGGGGGATATCAGGGGCAGCGACAGGGGGGGATGGCATGGGGGGGGGACGCATCGACCCCCCAATCGCCAATTGAGCGCCGACAGGGGCCCGATAGCCCCAACGTGCCCAGGAACGTGCGCATTCACTGTCGGTGGCCTGTCGCCGATCTATCGGCGATGTATCGCCCGATTCCAGGTCGATGTTTCCCCCCCTATCTCTGTCCCCCCCGATCGTTGCCCCTCAGGATGAAGAAGGGGAGGGGGCTTTCTGCACAATCTTTCGAACGGGCTCGATCTGTGAGGGTCCCGGGGCCCGAAGTTGAGCGGAACCGCCCGTTGTGAACAAATTGCAACGCCAGGATTTCAGGGGAGGGAGGGGGGGGGGCGGCGGGAGAAGGATTAAGTCGGGTCTGTCCCCCTACAGGAGGAATCTCCAGACATAGTAAAACAATGGTCTGGGGACGATGTTCCCCGTATTGTTTGATCAGTTTTGAGAATTTCTGTTTTTTTATCTGTCGTCCAAAACCCGCCTGTCGGGGGGCATGCCCGACCTAAGAGAAGGAAGGGGTCACAGAGGAGCGAGGGGCCAGCAAGGCGGGGGGGAGGGGCGCGCAAGGGGAGGGGGTGGGAGGGCCAGAGATCTCGGGGGCGAGAGAGCAGGCAGGCTGGAGAGAAGGGCGGAGGAGGAAGGAGGGATCCAGGGTGGGGAGTCGAAGGAGGAGAGGGTGCCCATTGGAAGAAGAGAAAGGCACATAAACCTAAACTTTCGGTGCGCCGAGCGGATCCAAGAAATCCGCGCGGATTGTCGAAAGGTTATGCTCATGTGTTTTTTGCTTCCTCTGCCCATACCGCTACCCCCTCGGCCCTGTTCCGTCCTTTTGGGCCTCCTGGGAGGCCCTCGTCGCCACAGCTGGATTCGCCGCAGAGTGTGGAGTAGCGGCATCGGTTGGGGCGGGTGGTAATTCATAGGGGGGTGGCCCAGCTGGAGGGTGAAGTACAGGGCCCTAACACTAATTGGAGCCAGCTGGTGCCCCCAAAAGGGGCCCTGCAGGGCCCCTTTCACCCCCCATTCAGGTCACCCCCTACCCATCGGTCGGAAGCGCTGGATAGGAACACGAAGCAGGAAGGCGCTGGAAGTAGATCGGGCTTCCGCCCGCTTCCTGCAGAGGAGGGCAGAGGGCGAAACACTCGACTCTTGAAGCAGGACTGCGGCTGAATCATACTGGCACCTGGGAATCACGCACTGCCTACCTTCAACGACCGATGGGTACGGTAGAGGGAAACAATTATTGAACACTCCCCCTCCCCAAAACTCAATGTTGGCACGCGCGGGGGAGACGGCGGTCGAAGTGCATCTCATCAGACCCACCGCCAACTTTGAACATTGGGGGGAAGGGGAGGCGTTGACGGATGAATGTGGCATGTGTTCGCTAACTTGTTCCGAGGCCTGTAGCACCACCCGCCCGATCGGCACCTGCCGAGTTCCCCCCAGGCTCGGGCACGGCCTCGCTGGTGGGCTGCTGCCTCCTGATGCCTCGAGGGGCGAACACGGCAGGCAGAGGGCACACGCGCACGGCAGGCTCGCGCCGTGCCGACGCGGCGGCCTCCGGCCCCGACGCGGGGCGTGCCGGGTGGCACGCCGCCAGGGGCCCAGAATCGCCCAGAATGGCAGGGAGGGGAGGAGGAGGAGGAGGAGGAGGAGGAGGGAGGAGGAGGAGGAGGAGGAGGAGAGGAGGAGGAGGAGGGCGAGGAGGAGGAGGAGGAGAGGAGGGCGAGGAGGAGGAGGAGGAGGAGGAGGGCGAGGAGGAGGAGGAGGAGGGGAGGAGGAGGAGGAGGAGGAGGAGGAGGAGGAGGAGGAGGAGAGGCGTCGAAGGTTTTGGGGGGGGGATCGCTCGAGACAAAAAATTCAATGCGTTTGTGTTCTGTGCACCAGCCCGAACCCAAGCTGCTTGAACCGCCTTCCTACCTCATGTCTCCACCTCCTCCTCCTCCTCCTCCTCCTCCCTCCTCCTCCTCCTCCTCCTCCTCCTCCTCCTCCTCTCTGCCTCTCTGTCCCTCTGCCTCCCCTCCTCCCCGTCCCTGGCTGCCTTTTCCCAGCGCGCGCGCGGAGAGAGCCCAGCGGCAGCCAAACCCTGCGCCCCGCCCGCCCTGCGCCCCGGCCTGCGCGGGCGCCCGACGGGCGGCGGGCAACTTTCCACCGAAAGGTTTTGTGCACAGAGGAGACCCATGCCAAGAAGCACCCTGCTTGCCTCCAGGGTGCCCCAGGTTTCTTGGGTCTTGATGGTGTTGCTATGGACAGCGTGACGTTCCCACACGCCAGAAGAATCAATGGACGCCCTGGGGTATCAGGGTTGGGTTTCTTGTGGAGGGTTTCTTGTGGTCGAACTCCTACTGTAGGACGCTCTGGCGATCGAGAAGCCGCCGATCCTTCCAAGGTTGAGCGGTATCCACGCGGTGTCAGAGACCGACGCCGGAGCTGTCGCGACAAGAGCTCGCTGGGATCATGAACTCTCGGGGGGGGCCCGCGCGGATGAGTCTTGGATCGGCGCTTGAGGCCCCCCTCCCCGGCGCGCGGGGAGCGCGCCGGAGGCGTCGCCAGGGGGCTCCAGCGCCGACGCAAGAAATCCACCCAGACCTCCGAGGAAGCTTCTGCTTGTTTCGAGCGTTCGTTCCTCGACGATGCTGGCGGACGACGAGGTCCTGGCCGCCGCCTCGCAGGCCGCGGCCGAGGCGTACGACGACGGCCCCCGCGCGGGCGCCGCTCCCGCGGGCGCGAAGAAGAGGCGCCGGGCGGCGCTCGCGCCGGAGGACGCCGCGGCCGCGGCGCTGGTCGGAGCCGTCACGGCCGCGGGCGAGCCCGAGCGGCGGGAGCTGAGGTCTCGACCAGCTGGAAGCACATCCCCGTTCCCGTGGTTGGCATCTCTGGGCCTCGGTGCCGATGCTGCGGGTTCCCTCTGCTTCTGGAGGCGCCTCCCCGAGATTTTCGGCATCGGCTCGGGCTTGTCGATCTCGGGGATGGGGTGGAGCTCGAGGCTCTGTCAGGTCTGCCGCGCGGGGCGCGCGGCGCGGCGGCGACCCCTGGCCTGCGCTGCTGGCGGTCGCGGGCCGGCGCCGCGGCGCCGTGGCCCGCGCTCGGGAGGCGGCCGCCGCGGCCGTGCGCCTGCGTCTCGGGCGTCGATGGGAGCGTCCCTGTGCCCAGTGGGGTCTCCGAGGCTGCCGGGGCCATCGGGCATCGCCTTTTCTGCCAGCATCGTCTGACCTGTCCCCATCCCCAGTGGGGCGTGGCATCTCAGCCCCACCAGCCCACCCCTCCAAGGTGGGGATAGGGCCCGCGGAATCTCCAGGAGTAGGCATATGGCACACAACATGCACAGATACCGCAGGCATACGTATATACATATTTGTATATAAGACATACATACATATACATGTGTGTATATACATGCAGTATATACACATCCCCACCTGGGTGGGTCATCAAGTTCTTAGCCGTGTAGCGTACGAAGGGGCGCCAAATTTCAAGAGTGTAATATTAATGCTTCAGCCTTGAGCTTGAGCTTCGGAGTGCCGCTGCTTGAGCTTATGATGTTGATTGCGCGTGCTAGGCGATTCTGGTTTGAGGAGGTCCAGGGAGGTGCGAAGCAGCGCCAACCGCTACGACGACAGCAAAACATTTGTGTGTTTGCGTTGCAGTGTGTGTGTGTGTGTGTGTGTTGGCATATGTATTTTTATGTCAATGCAGTGTTGGTCTGCTTCGGAGTGGTGTTGTTTCGCTGCTAGAGGCTCGAGATTGAGCTCATGAGTACAGACGATTCCGCGTGCGAGCGGAATGTGGCTTGAGGAGGTCCAGGGAGGTGCAAAGCGCGCAGCGCTAATTACCACGGCAGCAAAACACGTTGTGTGCATTGCAGTTGCTTCGTGCATTGACTTTTTTGCAATGCAGTGTTGGTCTGCTTCGGAGAGCCGCTGTTCCTCTGCTAGAGCTTGAGCTTTTGATTCCGCGTGCGAGCCGAATGCGACTTGAGGGATTCCAGGGAGGTGCGAGGCAAGCAGCGCTAACCACCACGACAGCAACACAGTGCGTTTGCCATTGCAGTTTTTCTGTCGCATTGGAGTTGGTTTCTGCAGTGCAGATTTAGTCTGCTTCGGAGTGCAGCTGTGTCTCTGCTGGATGTGCGTCTGGCTGGTCTGGATGGTTGTCGTGCTGGTGGCGGGCTGGTCTGGTTGGTCTGGTTGGTTCACTTCGCTGGTTTGACTCGCTGATCTTGCTGGCCTGCTTGGATCAAGTGTTCTGCATTCTCGTCTGTTTTGTTTCTCCGTGTGCGGTCTTCTCCGTCGGTTCGATTTGCTGATCTTTGTTCGCCTGGTGATTCAAGCCGCGGTAGCGTTCATCTGGTTGGTCTGGTTGGATTGGCCCGATAGGTCTGGTCGGTGTGGGCGGCACGGTTGGTCTGGTTTGGTTGGCCTGGTTGGTCGAATTCGTCTGGCTGGTCTTAGTTGGATTGGTCCGGTCTGGCTGGTCTGGTCTGGTCTGGTCGAGCAATTCACCTGGTTGGTCTGGCTGGTCTGGTCTGGTACGTCCGACTGGTTCGGTTGGTCTGGCTCGGATTGCTGTGTTGGTCTAGCTCATCTGGCTGATCTGCTCGGCAGAGTTGGTGTTGACTGGCCATTCTCATATCTGGTTGGTCTGGCTTGTTGGTTTGTTTTGTCGGGCGTGGTTGCTTCACTGGGTCTGGTTAGTCTGGCTGGTCCGGTTGGTCTGGTTGGTTAGTCGGCAGGGTTATTTTGAATCCAATATTCGTTTGTTGGTCTCATCGGTGTGGTCGCGCAGGTTTTTTCTTTGGTCTTGCCGGTTCGGTCGGTTTGGTCTGTTCGGTTCTCTTGGGTGGCCTTGATTTGGCCCGCTCTGGTTGGTCGAGTAGTTCATCCGGTTCGGCTGCCCTAGTTTGATTGGTATAGTCTGGTTGGTTGGTTGGTCTTGATTGGTTGGTCCATTGGCTACTGAACCAAGTCTGGCAAGTCTGGTGATTTGGCTGGTCCAACTAGTTTGGCTGGCTTTGCCTGTTCTGCCTGCTGCGCAGGACTTCCACGAAAACGAGCAGCAGGAGCAGCAGCAGGAGCAGCATCAGCAACAGAAGCAGCATCAGCAGCAGCAGCAACGGCGAAAGTATGACCAGCATCAACGCCCAGACGAGGAGAGATCCGAGGAGGATCAGGGGGAGGGGGACGGGACTATCTGTGTCAGCAGCCACATCAGTTCGTATGCCCCAAAGAGCAGAGCACGGCTCTGGGGCATGAGAACTTGTCGCCTCGAGCGGCTCAGAATGTTTGTCGGCCAGCGGGGCAAGGCCACGCCAGCGGGGATGAGCACCGTCGAGACGATGCTCATTCTGCCGTGGGCCTGCGTTTGCACCACCACCACCACCACCACCACCCTGCAGACCAAGACCAGGGGCAGTTCACCCGTGGCAGCGCTGGCCATGGCCAGCGCCTCGAACGGACAGAGGAAACACCGTGGGTCAGCCGCCTCTCCTCTGTGGTGAACATGCAGTGATGCAAAAAAACGAAGGATTGCAAAAAACGAAGGATTGCAAAAAAAACGTTTTTTTGCAATCCTTCGTTTTTTGCAATCCTTCGTTCAAGGAAGGCGTTTCTTAGAAGGTGGGCCTCGCCTGGCCTTCCTTGGGACCGCCGGGGGGCCTCCCTGGCCGGCAGCCCTGGGGACGCCGTGGGCCGCGGGCCCCTCCCGCCGACGCCCGATCGGCTGCGCGCCCTCGACGAGGCGGAGGACGCCGCCGTGCCCTCGACGGGGACGGACCGCCCAGCCGCCGCGGGGCTCATGGCCCAGCACCTCAGGCCGGGCCCGTGCCGCTCTTCGAGCAGCGCGGACCGATCGATTCGAGGTCGGGGGTCTCGCTCGGCTCGGTCCGGTGCGGCGTCCCGATCTTCGCGTCGTTTTACATGGGCCCGGCCTGAGGTGCTGGGCCATGAGCCCAGCCGCCGCGGGGCTCATGGCCCAGCACCTCAGGCCGGGCCCATGTAAAGCGACGCGAAGATCGGGACAAAGTCGGATCGGGATAGCTCGAAATCTCTGAGAAGCGGCGGGTTTGGAGGATGTCTTGGGCGCCGCGGCCGCTCCAGAGCGTTCCGGAAGGCTCTGAGAGCGCTCCGGAAGGCTCTGGAGCGATTTATCCCGATCCTAGCCATGTTTTACCATGCCGCTCTCCGAGCAGCGCGGACCGATCGATTCGAGATCGGGGGTCTCGCTCGGCTCGGTCCGGTGCGGCGTCTCGGTGCGGGCGGCCCGGTGCCTGCACGGCGGGGTTGGATATCCTGTCGCGGTGGATTCGGCCCGATTTCGATCCGGTGTTGATGCAGCGCGATTCGGTGTTCGTTCCCATGCGTCCCTAATTCGAGAATTTTATCCACCCACCTCCCTCGACCTCAAGCTGTTGGAGTCGAACATCCAAGCTTAAAACTTGCCCCCTGACCCCTTCTGGATTCCATCCAATCCTGGCTAAAGACTCATGCCGGGGCAAGTTCTGACGGGGTCTTGACCCAGAGCGGGTCCCCCAAGCCGAAGACAGATTGCCTCTTCCTTGATTTCCATTGCCGATATGTGACGACCTTCGCTTCGGATCCCATTCTCGGGGTGGCAATGCAAGTTTTGGTGGCCCCGCCAGAAAAACGACACCCCAAGCAGTACGCTCTGTACTGGAGATCTGTAAGCTACAAGGTGCAACAATCCGGTGCAAGCTATGAGGTGCAAATTGTGTTGTGCAGGCGGTGATGCAAGGTATTCGATCCAATCTGCGCGGTAAAATTTGCGTGGTGCAAGCTAAGTGATGTGCAACTTGCGTGGTGGAAGGTATGTGGTGCAAACTATTTATTTGGTGCAATCCACGTGGTGTAAAGTCTGACTTATTGACGCTTCGCGTATCCTGACCAGCTTGTCATCGTCCCCCGCGACTACGCGGTGGTAGTCTTCGGGAACCAGGGCTCGACCTACTTCGCCATTTTGGCGTTGCACGCGGACCTGGTGCACCTCCTGGTCTTCTTCTCGGCATTGGCGTTTCACGCGGACCTGATCCTCAGCGCCCTCGTCGCCTACTGAGTCGCAGCGTAGTTTGCTCCTGCGCGCTTGGTGCCTAATTTAGATCGTGGCGCTGTTGCTTCGCTCTTTGACGGCGCGCGGTTGCGCCGTATCGCTCGCGGACAAAAGGTACCTTGACCAGCCCATCCAGAAACATATCGCCAGGCGACTTGCCTTGATGAGGGAAGTAGAAGCATGCAGTGTAACAGCCGCCTTGGAAGTATTTGTTTTTGAGGTGTCTCTCTTGGAGTCTTTGCGGCGCCACTTGGGGCGCTCTTGGGGCCCTTTTGGGCTTGTTTTGGGGGTCTACGAGCCCTCTTGAGGCTCTGGGGGGGGGGTCTGAGAGGCCTCTTGAGGCAATGCTGGGCTCACTGCTCAAAAGAAGGAGTGGGGCGTACATGTAGATCCCTTTTCGGAGGCTCACAAATTGCACCTTGGGGCCGTCTTGGGGCGTTGTTGGGTGGCTGTCTTGGGCCATCTCCGGGCCGTCCAACAAAACAACTTTGAGGCCTCCGAGGCCCATCGGAATGGAAAAGGAAAGAAGGCAACAATCAACAATTGCCCGAAGGTTTTGGAACCATTCTTGTTTACGGGGGGGGGTCATTGGAGAGCTCGGAGGGCACTTGAAACTGTCGTGGGGCCGTCTTGAGTACTCTTGGATGTGCAGCGGAGGCTATCTTGAGCCATCGTGAGTTTTCTTGGGCCATCTTGGAGGCCATCTTGGGGTCTCTGAGGCCCTCCTGTAGCCATCTTTGGCGATCCTGGGGGCTCTAACGCCTCGCGCCCTTTTTTCTTCCCAGGCCCGGGGGGGGGGAGGTAGACCCCTCCTCCGAGCAGGAGAAGGATGGATCTGGGGCACAGGGAAGACAGTTTTCACTCAACCACTTACGCCCAGAGGGCTAGTGATTTTATGTGGTGCAATCCACGCTACGTGGTGCAAACTATCTGGTGTGAGTTGTGCGGTGCATTCTGCGTTGCTGTGCGCGGCGTGGGCTATGTTGTAGAAGCCCGTAAACGCGCTAACGGCGATTATGGTAACGGCGATGTAGATCTCGGTGTTGTGGGAACGCGCGGTTCGTGCGTTCCTGCACTTTGTTGTGCCGTTGTCGTTCGATACGCCTGCACACGTTGGAATTATAGGAAATTGCAGGTCGTGATTTCCCACATGCTGGTCCCCGACATCGCCGTGAAACAACACCGCCGTTGGCGTGGCCTTGGTAAGCCGCGCGGTGCGGCGGCGGCTGGGAACGGGGCCGCCGGGCCCGCGGGCGTTTTTTTTATTTCTTGTTTGTTTCTTCTCTCTCTTGTCTTGAGCACCGTCAGGAAGGGAACAAACGAGGAAACAAACACAGACACAATGAATCGTCGATTCCCAGGAAAATATGCGAAACCATGAGAGGTGGGGGGGAAGACGAGAGCCCAGAAAGTATGGACACATCTGGGGAATCCTTTGGTTTTTGCGTGTCTAGCGAAGGCCTCACAGCTGGTGCCGCCGACCCTTCACGGCGGCGGCAACCATGACCACAACGACGAAGATCTCGGGAGCTTCTGGGGGTAGTTTGGGGGCCCCTTGGGAAGCTCATGGGGGCCGCTTGGGAGCCTCGTGGGGCCTCTTGGGGCTTCCTGGGGGTCTCTTGGGGGCCTCTTGGGGCTTCTCGGGGGGGCTTCTTAGGGGGAAACCTGGGGCTGTTTTGTATTTGACCTCTCTGTGTGTGTGTGCGGGTGTGCGTGTGTGCGTGTGTGCGTGTGTGCGTGTGGCCGGGTGGCCGTGTGGCCGTGTGGCCGTGTGGCCGTGTGGCCGTGTGGCCGTGTGGCCGTGTGGCCGTGTGGCCGTGTGGCCGTGTGTGTGTGTGCGTGCGTGCGTGCGTGCGTGCGTGCGTGCGTGCGTGCGTGCGTGCGTGCGTGCGTGCGTGCGTGCGTGCGTGCGTGCGTGCGTGTGTGTGTGTGTGTGTGTGTGTGTGTGTGTGTGTGTGTGTGTGTGTGTGTGTGTGTGTGTGTGTGTGTGTGTGTGTGTGTGTGTGCGCGTGCGTGCGTGCGTGCGTGCGTGCGTGCGTGCGTGCGTGCGTGCGTGCGTGCGTGCGTGTGTGTGTGTGTGTATATGTGGGCCCCCCTTTCGCACTGGGGCGGCGATGGGCGGGCACGAGAGGCCGCGCCGGGCCCGCGGAAGGTCCCAGCTCCGTGGCAGGTCTCGCGCTAACGGCAATGTAGGTAACGGAAGGGGGGGCTGATAGCACAGTAATCATACCCCAGTTCATGAGCACAGAAATGCATACCCATGTTGTGACATTCGCCCATGGAGATTGACACATGTGGATCACGTGATTGTTGCCGTGGTAACCCCGTGTTCTGCGTTACCAGGCGATGTTGGTTTGGGCATTGTAAGTGGGACTGGTTCGTGGCCAAACCGATCGTAGGCCATCGTGGCTCGTGCTTTCCTGCACTTCGCTGCGTCGTTCTCGCTCCATGCAGTCGCATATGTTTGAAATGTAGGAAGCGGTGTGGCGTGATTTCCTGCCATTTGTTCTGCGCGAGCTGGGTGTCACAAAAATCGGGTTCCCAACATCGCCGTTAACCAACATCGCCGTTAGCGCGGCCGTGGCAGTACTCCATCGGTCGTTGAAAGTAGATATGTCTGGATTCCCAGGTTTCGGGGGCGGCCAAGAGGGGGGGGATGACTAGGGGGGGGGACATCATGGCGTGGGGCATTGTATCTCCCCAGGTTTCATTGTGCGGCTCCTTGTTTCATTCGGTCCCTGGCCCTCTCCCGGGGCCGCGCACATGCCGCCGGCCTTGATTTGCGCCCCCCTCTCTTGGACGTCCCCCTCTTGGCAGCCCCCGAAGATTCCAATCTACTGTAAGCTCCTTCCTACTTCAAGGATCGAGTGGCTTTACCTTTTCCATCCTCCTTCGGCGGGCGGGCGGGCACCCAATCTACTTTCAACGCCTTCCTGCGCCATGTTTCTACCTACTTCTTCCGACCTATGGGCAAGGACTCCTAAGTGCAAGCACCGTTTTGGGGAACATCTGCCGAAGGCCCGCGCAGATTTCGTTGGATCGGTGCGTGTTCTCCCTGGCGCCGCCGCTGGCACCGCCCCTCGCGCGCTCCGCGCGCTGGAGAGGAGAACCCAGCGCCGATTCAAGAGGTTCGCGCGAACCGCCGAAGGTTTCCGATTACGCAGGTTTTATATTTCTTGCATTCGGAGGGCGACGAAGCTGCAGAATGATTATTTTTCTGCGAGGTCCACAACACTTGATTGCATTGGCGCTGGGACCCCCTGGCGGCGCCTCCGGCGCCGCCCCCTGGCGCGCTCCGCGCGCCAGAGGGGGGTCCAGCGCCGATCCAAGAAATCCGCGCGGACCTTCGAGAAAGTATGTTTATGCAGTTATGTTGTTCCTCTGTTCTTGTTCTGCTTCTGCCTTTTTCCCTTCGATGAGAGGACGGTGACTGTTGCGCCCAAGCCTGCCAGAGGCGTGGTTTCCGCGGCCCCCTTGTCAAGGCGGTGGCCCTGGCAGAGCCTTCGCAGCCAGCCAACCTGGAACGCCTCCCGACACCACACAGCCACTTCGGGAGCCACGGCTGAGGTCGCTCATCTTCCTCCTCAGGAGGGGGAGGAGGAGGAGGAGGAGGAGGAGGAGGAGGAGGAGGAGGAGGAGGAGGAAAAAACAAGGAAAGATGAGAGGAGGAGGAGGAGGAGGAGGAGGAGGAGGAGGAGGAGGAGGAGGAGGGGGAGGAGGGGAGGGGAAGGGGGAGGGGGAGGTGGGGGAGGAGAGGGGGGAGGGGAGGGGGAAGAGAAGGTGGGGGGATGAGATGAGATGAGCAAGCGGCCCGAAGCCAGGTGCGTTCGGGCGCCTATCGCCCGCCCCTGGAGGCATCCGAGGCTTCTCGAATTCCCAATCATGGGCCTCGTCGAGCCCGTGCTTGGCCTCCTTCGAGAAGTCTGGCCCCTTCGGCACGGGTGGCCGCCAGGTCGGACTCCCGAAGACCAAAAGCCATCAGCACCTCAGCTCGGGACGTCATCCCCCTAGAGGCACTCGCCCCACGAAGCCCACCTCCCCCCACGTCCTGAGCCGAGGCGCTGGGGGAAGGCTCACCAGAGCTAAACAGCGACGCCATTTGCACGCGAACTGCGAGCGGGACGCCGATTGGGGTGTCGAGGCGGAGGTCCTTCAGACCCGCCCTGTACGAGGGGTATTTGCCAGCCTTGATCAGTGCCAGCTGGTACTTCAGGCCCGAAGCCGCGTGCTCTCGGAGACACGGCTGGAGGAGGGCCCTCGTCGGACGCTCGGCACTGAAAAAGGCTCCACAAGCACAGCAAAAGATGATGGCCTTGGTCCCGACCCGATCTGGCGCACACGGTGGCGTGAAGAAGCGGGTGGCCGTTAGAATTGTACCCAACGTCGCGGTACTCGTCGAAGCCGTCAGCTGGGGCAGCCAAAGGGGGGTGCCACAGCTCGCTCCAACTCCTGAGCCCGCTCACCTGGCGGGTCCCCAGGCTCCTCTGGCGGGGCCTCCGTCAGCTCTCGAAGGAGGAGGAGGGGGAGGAGGAAGACGGCTGCGTTTTGCCACCCCCTCCTCAGGTCGGTGGAGTCGCGCATCCTGCACGACGCCGCCCGCGTGCTCCGCGAGGGCCCGCTCTGCTAGGGGGACACCCCGGGGGCGCGGCGGCCGAGCGGAGCCGGGCGTTCGCGGGCAGAGGCGCATCGCCCAGCCGCAGGCCCGTCCAGGCTCGCGAAGAGGGACTCGAGGCTCCGAGGCTCGAGGGGGGGGGGTACGCTTCGAGGCTCGAGAAGAGGAGGAGGAGGCGGAAGATAACTAAGAATACACAAAACAATGGGAGGAGGAGGAGGAGGAGGAAAATAATGATAAGAAGAAGAAAAACTATAAGGAGGACAGGAGGAGTTCGAGGACTTCGGTGGGAAGGTGGGGGGGGCTTTGAGGCTCGATGGGGAAGGGGGCGGAAGGATGGGAGGACTCCGAGAGTTTCGAGGAGAAGAGGGGAGGATCTCGAGGGCCTCGGCGAGAAGCTGGAGGGGGCTTCGAGGTTCGCCGGGAGGAGGGAGGAGACTGAAGGGGGGATTCCGAGGTTCGAGGGTCAGGCCTGGGTCCATCGTGGGGAAGACGTTGAGGTTTTCGAGGTACATGGCAGACCACACGTGCACATGATGGGTGATATTCAGTAAAGTCTAGATCTCCCCGTGCGTCATGCGATCGCAACGTTTACCTATACGACCACCCTTCGTGCGGGTAATATGGAGGTTTGGGGGGTGTGGGGGGGGAAACGAAATGCTGGCAAATGCGATGGGTGCGATGATGACGATGCTGGTGACGCGGCCTCGAGTTAGCGACGACGCGTGATGACGATTACCTCACTATCGATCCGATCATCGATCCCACAGGATCGATCACACTCGATCGATCAAACCCGATCCCACTATCGATATCACTTTTGATATCACTATGGATATCGCTATCGATCTCACTATCGATCTCGCTATCGATCTCACCTACAATTCCTTTATCGATCTCTCTATTGAGTTCACGATCGATCTCACAACCAATCCTCGAATCGACCTCACTGTCGATCACTATTTTGATCTCAATCTCCATCACCTTCTAGCGATCTCACTATCGATCTCACTATCGATCCCACTATCGGCACCAAGGCGGGACACGCCCGGCTACGGCCCGCCCACTGCCGACGGAACACCGACGGGACACCAACGGGACACCACAGGACACCACGACGGGACACCTGGGGCCACCGCGCGCCCACCTGGGGCGGAGGGGCGGTCCATTGCGTCCGAATCGCCCTAGCGACCGTGGGGCCATTCCTCTCGCGCGACCACGCAGCTTCGCCTCGCATGCACGACACGAACACGAAACCGAAACCGATTTCCTCGTGGGTGGCTCTCCGTTCCACTGCGATCTTACCCCCACCCTCCGATTACACATACGCAGGGCACTCCATCTTCCCATCCATTTGTCACTGAATTTCATGGCTGCTTACCCCTGGCATCCTCCAGCAGGCTAGAGCGTTTGCGGGCCTCCCGTGCCTGATCTTGGATCTCCTCACCCTCTTCTTGTTCATGCCGCCCCTCCTCTCCATCATCCTCGCTGCTCCTCTTCCCTTCCTCTTCGCATTTCCCCCCTGCGTCACGTCTGCTCCTCTGCCGTCTCCTCCCCGCTCCCCCTCTTCACATTCATACTCCTCCGCCTCTCCGTGCCGTGCGTCGAGACGCGCACAGGCTGACGCGACCTCGCGCGGCACCTGCGCGGCCGTTGTTGTGCTCTGCGCGACGGACTTCCGTCGGGGCCCGTCCTTAACTATGGGGCGTTTTGCCTCCGTTTCCAGTGCTTCGCTTTCGACTCGACCAACACGTACGTGTTGGTCGAGTCGAAACCGGCACCCCAGCTAGTGGGCGTCAGGCAGGCCGCATAGGGGATATTCAAGCAAACGTAGTCGAAGCGCAGTGGCAATGGAAAGAGCACTGGCAGGCCCGCGACGGGGCCGATCCCAGACCCGAGGCCGCAACAGAAACGGCGCCCCAAGCGTATAGGAAACGTTGATGCCCAAACGCCAAAATCTGATGGGCCTGTCTTCCACCACCACCACCACCACAAGTTGGAGGGAGAAGGGAACCGTCTTCCACCACCACCACCACCATAAGTTGGAGGGAGAAGGGAACCTCCTCCTCCTCCTCCTCCTCTTTTTCCTCTCCTCTTCGTCCTCCTCATCCTCCTCCTCCACCTCCCTCCCCCCTCCAACCTGTGGTGGTGGTGGTGGAAAGCAGGCCCATCAAGACACGCCCTCGGCACTCTTCCCCACAGGGCAGCCCGGGCCATTTTGTTGGCCGCCCCCCCGCAGCGCGACGTCCCCCCTCCCCCGGGGCGTGCCGCGCTGGCCCCCCCCCTTGCCCCCTGGCGGCCGAACGCGGCTCGCCCCGGCGCGCCCAGGCGCGCGTCCGGTCGGCGGCTGGCAGAACGCAGTCGTGTTCGGCTTCTCCTCCCTCCTCCTCCTCCTCCTTTTCCTCCTCCTCCTCCTCCTCCTCCTTCCTCCTGCTCCTCCTCCTCCTTCGCCTCCCTTTCCTCCTCCTGCTCCTCCTCCTCCTCCTCCTCCTCCACCTCCTCCTCCTCATCTACCTCCTCCTCCACTTCTTCTCGTCGTTTTCGTTGTCTCGCGGGCGCGCCGCCGCCTCCCCTCCCTCCTCCCTACTTCCCTACCTCCTCGCGGGCGCGCTTCCGCTCTCGGACAAAGGGGCGGGGACCTCTTTCAGGAGGGAAAAAACACACAGACTCAATTCATCGTCGATTCCCCAGAACAGATGGGAAAATATGGGAAGTGGGGGGGAAGACGCAAACTCAGAACATATGGGAAAATATGGGGAATCCTGTTGTTTGTGTCTATTTATTTGTGTGTCCCAGGGCCCCATTCACTCTTCTGGTGGATCAGGGTTTACGGGAGGTTGCTCAGGGCGAGGAAATGGGTTGGCACTGCTTGTTCCCACTGCCCCGACTGCTCCCCTATGGACCTTATCCTAGCTGCCGCTGCCACGTGCCGATCCTCCTCATCATCGTCCTCCCCCTCGTCTCGTCGTTCTCGTTGTCTTTCTTCGTGCTCGTCGCTCTGGTTCGTCGTCGTCGTCGCCCTTTCCGTCCTCATACACTTTTTAGTCTGCGGGTCGAGAGCGAGCCTCTTCCGGTTAAAAGCTAGGCGAGCTACGCAAAGCTCTAATTGGGGAGACAGAGCACAGGCGGGCGGGGCCTCAGGCGGCCGGAGGGCGGGCCGGGGTGTAGGCGGTGCCGAGGAGTTCCGTCCTCATACACATTCCGCTCACGAATTTCGCACGGGAAACGAAGTGGTTCCTGAGCTCCGTCCGCCGTGCTCTGAAGACGACCGCCCTCGTCTCGCCCCCTCCCCTTCTGTTCTGGCTTCTTCGTTCTGCTCCCCCCTCCTCCTTCCCCTCCTCCTCCTCCTCCTCCACCTCCTCCTCCTCCTCCTTCCCCTCGCTCCGACAGCCAGGGAACGACGGTATAAGGCCTGTGCTAGGTTGACCAAGTGGGTGCTTGTGATGGCAGCCCCACCTCGCAAAAGGTCGCCAAATAGCGATGTGTCTCATCTGTTTGCGGTAGTGCTAAGGCCTCACGGCCGGTGCCACACACCCTGGACGAGGACCCCCATGATGGAAGAGGCATTCGGGAAGGCAGGGATCGGCTGGGACCCCCTCCTGGGCCCCCCCAGCCCTACCCTGAAGTCGGGCCTGTCCCTCTTCAGGAGGAATATTCGAAAATAGTACAACAAATAGTCCGGGACGATCTTTTGAGTATTTTTTGCATCTTGGAGTACTGTTTAGAGTATTTTCAAATTTTCATCCAAAATCCGCCTGTAGGGAGACATGCCCGACACAACCCTACCACTCCTGGGGACCCTCCCCCCCCTCGGCGGGGAAGGGACCCTGTGGAGAGGGCATCTCTTCGACTCGCGCTGGAGGGCCCCAGGGCGGGTGGGCATTCTGACCCATGCAGGACCACCCCCCAGGACCACCCCCCAGGACAACCCCCTGGACCCCCTCTCCCGGGGACCCCCCTTCGGCGGGGAAGGGATCAAGGGAAGGGGCTTCTTTTCTACGAAATTGCGACGTTGCTCAATTTAGTTTAGGCTGTTCCGCTTTGGCTGGCGCGCCTTAAGGAGGAGGGCCCAGGGAAAGGGGGGGGAACGAGACGGCGACGACGACGAGTCAGACGAAACAGCCCTTCGCACAGGCCGACTAGGTCAGCGGATTTTGCGCGCGCGCGTGTGTGTGTGTGTGTGTGTGTGTGTGTGTGTGTGTGCGTGTGTGTGTGTGTGTGTCTGCGTGTGTGTGTGTGTGTGTGTGTGTCTGTTTCGTGGCTTAACTCGCGTTACGTATGATACTGACGCTCTAATTATCCGCCAGCGCAGTCCCTCTGTCTAGCCGCCAACGAAAGAAGTGTGTGTGTGTTTGTGTGGGTGGGTGGGTGGGTGGGTGTGGGTGGGTGGGGGGGGGGCGTGCGTGCGTGCGTGCGTGCGTGCGTGCGTGCGTGCGTGCGTGTGTCAGTTATTTGAATGAGACGAATGCTCAGCGATAGTGGCGACACCTGAACGCTACTCCGCCCTTCTTCCTTCCTCATCCTCCTTGTGTATGTTTCCTTCCGACCTTCCTCCCCCCTTTTTCCCGTCATTACTTTACTCGAGCGGCGCGCTTGCACAAAGCCTCGCGTGCAACCAACCATGCTGCTCCTTCCCCCCCAACCCCGCCTCCTTCAGCATCGTCTAACCGATACCCATCCCCACGGTCATGTGATAGTTTTTGTATTCATTGCTTTGACGATCGGCGCGGGTCCTCGCGAGTCGCACCCTCCCCTCCCCCCCATGGAATAGATCTTGGCTGTTTGGGGCGTCTGTTTCGAGCAGGTGGAGTCTCCCCCAGAGGACGCACGGTTCCAAACAGCCGCATTAAGCAGAGGTCCAGAGCCATACCCCTCCCTTTCCACCCCCTTCCGCCCAATGTCGAAACGCCGAATAAGAAAACGCTCACCATGTTATCTCACACACCCCAGCCCACCCCCGCCAGGTGAGGACATCCCCGCGTAGCCCGAAGGGGGAACAGCACTTCTCCCTGCCTACGGGGGTAAAAGTCGACCCGTGGCGCCAGGACTGTGCCGGTCGGGCCGGGATTTGTTCAAACGTAACGCTGCTCACACGGAGAAGCGAAGGCCGAAGAAACAATACAACTTTCGCATGCATAGATTGCGAAGGCCTCACGGCCGGTGTCGCCGACCCTGAAGACGACGACGTTGACCACGACGAGGTCGAAGGAGGAGGAGGAGGAGCCGCATGAGGAGGAGGCGGAAGACGACGCCGAGGAGGAGGAGGAGGAGGAGAATGAGGAACAGGGTGGCGATAATGTGGAGGAGCACGGAGATGCAGAGGCAGAGGTCGAGTTTTTGCATGCTTAGATTTCCGGAGGTCCGCGCAGAGTTCTTGGGGCGGCACTGGAACCTCCTGGCCGCGCCTCTGGCGCCGACTCTAGCCCCGATCCGAGACACCCGCGCGGACCTCTCGAAGTTTCACTGTGATTGTTTTCTTATCAATTGTTTTGCCGATCGGCGCCGGCCCTCGCGTCCCTCCCTACCCCCTCCATGAAATAGATCTTGGCTGTTTCGGGCGCCTGTCTCGAGCAGGCGGAGCATCCCCCGTGGGACGGTTGCAAACGGTCGCCCGAAGCAGGGGTCCAGAGCCAGACACCTCCCCTCCCCCCCTTCCGCCCAATGTCTCCACGCCGTATATATATATATATATATATCAATAAAAACAAAAAAACCTTCGCATTGTCCCGCGCTTTCCCGCTGCCCTCCTGCGCGGGCCCCTTCCAACGCCCCCGGTGCGCGCCTCGCCGGAGCGACGACGGGGCCCTCGCTCGCCTCTTCCCTCGCGCCTCCCCCGCCTGGTGCCTTCGAGCCGCCCGCTCCCGGGGGCGCCGCCCGGAGTCTCCTCCTCCTCCTCCTCCTCCTGCTCCCTCCTCCTCCTCCTCCTCTCTCCTCCCCTCCTCCTCCTCCTCCTCCTCCTCTCCTCCTCCTCCTCCTCCTCTCCTCCTCCCCCCTCTTCTCCCCCTCCTTCTCCCCCCCCCCGGGCGCAGCCCGGGGGGCGGGGGGGGGGCGCCGGAGATCCGACGCCGCGAGAAAAGAGCTGCGGCATCGCCGAGAAGCCCAACTATGGAGGCCTCGGCCCCGCCCCTCCGGCGGCCGCGCTCGGGGCGGGGGCGAGCCGTCGGGGCCCCAGGACGGGGCCGGGGGAGCAAAGAGGTGCCGTCACCGCCGCTCCCTGGGCCTCTCTGGGGGTGCGCTCTGGCCACGATTCCGCGGCGGATCCCGCCGTGCCGACGAGGGGCCACCAAGATGCGCTTAAATGCCCAGACACGTTCCACCACCTGGCTCCTGGCACCCCGCACCTCGCACCTCTCAGCTGCATCGGCAGCTTCTTCTCCGATCCAGGCCTCCCAGACGGGGCCGGAGTGGATGGGGTCGGAGGATCGTGCCGCATCGCCGATGCATCATCGCAGATGCGTCACGGGTCTTCTCCGCGCCGACGTTCCCGCTGCACTGGCGCTGCATCGGCGATGGATGCTGCAGGAATCTGCGCGGACCCCATCTGGGAAGCCTCTCTCCCCAGACCCCCGACGTCATGATTTTGTGTTGCGTCGACCCCCGGAGGTCTGGACCCATTCCCGAGGACCGGCCTTCCATCCTGAGTCGTTCCTTGACGGCCCCGAGGCCCGCTATTATAGGCTATATGGGGCCCCCAGAGGCCGAGAGCGACGAAACGCCTCCCGCCGTGACTCTTGTCATGGCTCGAGGGGGTCTGCAGGTCCGAGCGATGTCGGATCCCGGGCGGGGCGCGGGCGCCCAGCGCGCCTCCGCGGCCATGGCCGGCCGCGGCGGGCCCCTGGCGCGCGGGCGCCTGCTGCCGGCGCTGCTGCTCCTGGCGCCGGGCCCGCACGGCGCGCCGCGCGCGGCCGGCGCGGCCGCGGCCGAGGGCGGAGGGTGTCCGCCGGGCGCGGAGCTGGACGCGGTGGAGGACCCGAGTCGGCGGCCACAAAGGTTGTGCGGTTACGCCCGGGGTGTGGTCTGCGATCGGCACCGTGTGTGGTTACGCCCGGGGTATGGCTGCGCCCGGGGTATGGTTGCGCCGGGGTGTCCGCCAGGCGCGGAGCTGGACGCGGTGGAGGAGCCGAGTCTCAAGTCGGGCCTGTCGCTCTACAGGGGGGATGTTCAAAAGTAGTCAAGAAATAGGTTCTGGGGACCATTTTGGAGTATGTTTGGGCATCTCTTGAATATGTTCTGAGTATTTTTTATTTTTCGTCCAAATCCCCCTGTAGGGGGACAGGCCCGACCTAACCCGAGTCGGCGACCACAAAGGGTACGGTTACGCCCGGGGTGTGGTTTGCGATCGGCACCGTTGGGGCCCGGGGGGCACGGCGCTGTCCTCGTCGGGCTTCCCTGGGGCGCGGGAGAACTCCATGGAGGTCCCCGCGCGCCCCCCAGGGTGCCCCCCCGGGTGTTCCCCAGGGTGCCGGTTGCAAACCACACCCTTTGCAAACCACACCCTTTGGAGTCGCCGACCGAGGGGAGATATACGTGTGTAGAACAGAGTTTTGAATTGGGTTTCCTTGCGCATCCACGTGCAAGTGGGGCTGGAACGTGGCTCCGGCGCGGATTGGAGCGCGGCGGGGCGCGTGCATGCGCGCAGTAGATTGTTGCAGAGCTTTCAGACTTCTTCCGAATTCTTAGAATCCTTCAGAATCCTTCGGAATTCTTCAGGAACAGGTTTTGAACAATGTCCATCGAAGAAGAAAACCAATACACATAGACTTTGAGTTCTCCGCGCGGATTTCTTGGATCCGCGCTTTGGTCCCCCCTGGCGGCGCCTCCGGCGCCGCCCCTGGCGCGCTCCCCGCGCCGGGGAGGGGGGTCCAGCACCGATCCGAGAAATCCGCGCGGACCTCCGAGTTTGTATGTTTATGTCACTGTTCGTTCCCCTCGTAGAGTAGTTGTTGAACAGTGTCCAGGAAGATTTACGGATGAGTTCAACGAGCTCGGCGGTTCTCCGAATTCATTCGAGGGCCGTCCCATATAGACATTTTGCTTGATTCCGTCGACGACCAGTCTATAGATCGCTTACACCGTTGTTCAGAAGACGAGCCTCGGCCCTAGGCCTCCCAGATGGGGCCCGAGTAGATCGGGTCAGCGGATCGCGACGCATCGCCTATAAGTCGGCGATGCGGCTCGATGCGGAGGCCGACGTTGCTCACACCAACGACGCATATGCATCGGCGGTGCGGCGCGATCCTTCGACCCCATGTACTCGGGCCCCATTTGGGACGCCTCCCCGGGAGCCTTTCCTGCGCCTCCAGAGGTCTGCAGCGGTATGCTGGCGCCACTACACGCCAGTCGTTGAAAGTAGATATTTTTGGATTCCCAGATCCCAATCTACTTCGAGCGCCTTCCTACTTCAAGGATCGACACGCTTTTGCTGTGTTTTGTTATTCCCTGGGGGGGCCTGGACCCAATCCACTTTCTCCGTCTTCCTACTTCATGTTTCTACCTACTTCTTCCGACCGACGTGTGGGGGCAAGAGGCTGCCAGTGGCAACCGCTGAAGGCTACTGGAGGCCGCCGGGGGCCCCACTTGCGGCCGCTGGAGGCTCGCGGGGGGCCGCCGGAGGCAACTGGGGGCCAGTGGAGGAGCCACTCGGGCCACCCAGGTGGTTTTGCAGAAGGGCTCCTGGGAGCGTCTTCTGAGCTGGTGCCGATGCCCCGCCCTCGTGTTCGTTTTTCTTCGCGCGGGCTTCGCACTGCGAAGAAGTCAGCAGGTCTTCGGATGTCCGCGCGGACGCTGGACACCCCTGGAGGCGCCTCCGGCGCCGCTCCTGGCGCGCTCCGCGCGCCAGGGCAGGAGGATGCAGCGCCGATCCGAGGTGCATGCGCAGACCTCCGAAAGTTAATGCTCATACAGTAGAAATCGCGTCCTGTCTTCAGCGGCGACCCAGAATCGATCGATGTTGAACGATGTGCCGTTTCGGAAACGGTCGATCGTTCAAGATTGAACGATCCCCTCGGTGTCACAAACCAACCCCAGGGTCGTCACGACACTAACTTGCCGTACAGAGGCAGACGGATGCTGAAATCCATCCAGTGTTTTCGCTTTGTAGGGCCTGCTGGGGGGGTTGTCGTCGCAACGTTGGGATTCGCCTCGAGACCTTCGTCAGAGACGCACCCCGAGAGTGGTCTGGAGTACCGTCGGACCGAAATAGAACATCGAGGTCGGTTCGGGGAGAGTGTCCGAATGTTTTTCGTGATTGTTGGATGCTCCTATGCTTTCGGGGTAGGGTGCCGTCGCATGTTTTGTGTATCTTGGCCGACGAGGGGTCTCGTGTTCTTGAGGGATGTTGTTTTGGCCTAGGCGTCCGACTGCAGCTTCTCCCGCAGAGGACGGGGGCTTCGTAGAGTTTGGGCATCCCAAGGTGGGGTTTAGCTGAGTGTTCGCAGTTTCTGTTGCCAAGGGCCGTCTACAGCGGTCTCCCCCGTGGGCGGATGACCCCAATATCGCGATCTCCCGCCCGACCGAACGACGACGCGACGACGACGACGACGACGACGACGCGACGACGACGACACGACGACGACGACGACGACGCCGGACGGCCACGACGCCCACCTCGTGCGTCCTGCCCGGGAGGAGCGACTCCACGTCAGCGCGGTCCCGTTCACGCGCTCGCCCAGGCCGACGGGGCGCCATCTCCCAGGAGGGGAGAAACACACACAGACACAGTTCGTCGTCGACCCCCTGGAAGGTATGGGAAGCTATGGGCAGTGGAGGGGAGGACGAACACCGAGAGACAGTATCAGAACATGTGGGGCATCCTGGGATGTTTGTGTCTATTTGTGTGTGTGTGTGTGTGTGTGTGTGTGTGTGTCCCAGGGCCCCTTCAAGCTTGTACGTGTAGGCACCGACGCCGGCCCTGGCCAGGGCCCATCCTGGGCCCGTAGTTCGTTCGGTGCGCGCAACCCCTGCGGGCCCTGTGGCTCGGGACCCGGAGGAGCGTCGAGGACACGCGCGCTGTGCTGCAAGCTGTGCGCGTCGCTCGTGCTGTGGCGTCTCCCTCTTCCGCCTCGTGCTGTCTTCGTCCCACTTGCGCTGTCTGCGTAGTGGCCCGTTCTCTTTTCCGCTGATCGACCCTGTTGACGGTGCGCGGCCTCTTCCGCGTCACTTGCAATCAGAAAAAAGTGTCACTCGTGCACCTTCTGGCACGAGATCTAAGAAGAGAAAAGGCCATACAGACATAAACTTTTGGCGCTCCGCGCGGATTTCTTGGACCCGCGCTGGGCCCCCCCACGGCGGCGCCTCCGGCGCCGCCCCTGGCGCACCCCGGGCGCCAGGGAGGGGGGGGCCAGCGCGGATCCAAGAAATCCGCGCGGAGCGTTAAAAGTCTATGTTTATGGCGTTCTTTCTTATTCTAGAAAGCCTTTGTCGGTTTTGTTCCCGCAGTAACCTACTGATGTAGATAGAGGTCGCCCGACTGGCGCGGCACTGTTTTTTTCTTTCTGTTGTACTCTTCGAGCAGCGAGGGAAGCGTACGCACCAAGCCTGGGCTCGTGATTGGCACTGCGGGGATCGGCGGACCGAGGTCCCCCGCAGGGGAGCGAAGGCCGTCGAGCTTTGCGCGCTGCGGTCGCATCGTCCCTCCGATCACGACGACGATGACGATGACGATGACGCGGCCACCACCATGCCAGTGTTGAGCTACACTGTCAATGACACGCTCTCTCGGGGCGTTGCTGTGCTCCTGCTCGTAAGCATGTGTCACGTGTGCGGAGCTACATTGTCAGCGCCGCGCTTTCTTATGGGTTTGCTGCGGTCCTGCTCGCAACGCGCACCGCCAGAGGCGGCGGAGAGCTTGAGAGATCCACCCCTCCAAAAAACGATGGCGTGACGACGACGATGACGACATCGTCACCGTCATCGGGAAAAGCACCACCACCACCAGGGGCGCCCCTTGCAAGAAGGGTCCGCGAGGCCTCCCCGGCCCGAGCTGGGGATCGGAGGCGTCCCGAGCGGGGAGGGGGGGGCCACGCCACCAGGATGGTCCCGCCTGGTTCCTCGCGGATGGCGGTGGCGTCGCTGTTCCTCGGTCCTGCTCCTCTCCCGGGGGCCGCGCGAGGATGCGAAGACAACCGCGAGTGCATCGCACCCAGCGCCGACTGTCACTCTTCTTTTATTGGCGGCAGAGTGATCTATGGCGACGGTGCCGCCTCAAACTGCCTTGGATGCGAGCTGTTGGAATTTTTGAGCTTTATCTTGGCGCCAGCGCCTTTGGTTGGGGGAAACGTAAGACTCGAGTAAGCCGGAACTCGGGTTTGCCGACTTTTTTTGACGAGCGCGTCCTGGATTTTGACGGGCCCGTTTTCGTGGGATGTCTGCAGCGGGAGCCCGCGTCAAAACTTCAGATTGGGTCTCGTCATTTTTATGATGGCCCCCGTCAGGCCAACCCCAGTCCCCCGTACCCGAGTTCTACGTCTCCCCGATTGGTGAACCATTAAGTGCCCTCGGTGCGCATCGAGAATTGGCAGAAAGGGGCTGGTAGCATAATCGCTCGCCAGCAAGCCTGCTTCTCGCATTGTTTAGTTTGGCGGTGGTGCCGTAAACAACTGCCCCACTTAGTGGTCGTTTTTTATATTCATTTCTTTGCCGATTTGCGGGGGGGGGCCTAACCCCCCCCTCCCCCCCCGTGGAGTAGATCTTGGCTGTTTTTTGGCGCCTGTTTCGAGCAGGGTGGAGCCTCCCCCATCGGACGCACTCTTTCAAACAGTCGCACTGAGCAGAGGTCCGGAGCCAGACCCCCCGCCTCCCCCCCCCCTTCCGCCCAGTGCCGAGACGCCGAAGAAAAACAAAAAACTCACATGCTAACAAACTCGGTGACATGCAAGAAGGTGCTTGGCATCGCTCGGACGTGTGCATTTTTTCTCCGGCGAGGGCCATCGAGGAGCATCCTTGATAATTTGGCGAAAAAAACACGCACGGAACCGAAAAAAACACAGGGAATGGACGTCCGAGCGATGGCGAGGGTGGGAGCAGAGGCGAGAGAGCCGCCGGCCTCCTGCCAGGGAGTTCCTGGCCCGCTTCGAGTTCGACGTCCGGGCGCCGCTGTCTCAGGCGGGGGCCCGAGGGGGGGCAGAGAGAGCGGAGGGGGGAGGGCTGTGCCGGGTGTCTTCTCCCCAGACTTCACGGCCCCCCTCTGCTTTCGGGGGCGGCCAAGGGGGGCGATGACCGGCGGGGGGGGGGACATCATGGCGGGGGCCAGGATATCTCCCCAGATTTCATGGCGCCTCGTCTTGTTTCAATGCGTGCCCCGGCCCCCCGCCCCCCACTAGGCCGCGTGCATGCCGCTTTCCATGATTTGCGCCCCCCCCCCCCTCTTGGACGCTCCCCCCCCTCTTGGACGCCCCCGATTCTTGCTGCATTGCAGTGGAGGCCCATGCCAAGAAGCACCCTGCTTGCCTCCAGGGCGCCCCTGGTTTCTTGGGGCTTCGATGGTTTTGCCGTGGAGAGCGTCACGTTCCCACACCAAAAGTCAAGGGACGTCCTGGGGTCTCAGGGTTGGGCTTCTTGTGCAGGGTTCCTTGTGGTCGGTCCCCTTCTGTTCTGCCCCTTGGCCCCCCCTGGGCCGCGCACGCAGCCCGGGCCACGATAGCACGCGACTGTCACTACAGTCAGCCCGCACGGTGAGGATGGGCATCCTTGCCGCCTCGGTCCATCCTTGGCAACTCTTGCTGGCCGCGCCCCGCTCGAGAAGCTTCGAGATGGGCGTCCAAGGCCCTTGCATCCTCTCTAGGCCGCCCAGATGGGGTCGGAGTAGATGGGGTCGGAGGATCGCGCCGCATCACCGATACACCGGCGATGCGGCGCGATGCAGAGCCCGATATTCTCCACGCCGACTTCGCCGACGGCATCGCCGGCGTCGCCCATGCATCGCCGATGCATCGCCGATGCATCGCCTATGGATTGGGGATGCGGAGCGATCCTCCGACCCCATCTACTCGGACTCCGACCCCATCTAGGAGGCCTAGAGTGAAGAGCCCCCCCCACCTCTCGGGGGGTGTGGCGTGTGAGCTGAAGTGGCCTACTCCTGCTGTGCAGACCCCTGCCTCCTTTGAAATGGGCCCAGGGACAGACAATATATACACAATAGATATAGATTCACACGAATCCCAGGAAATCCAAGGCTCAGGAGGGAGAACACACACACAGTTGATTCGTCGATTTTCCCCAGAACGTCTGGGAACCGGTGGGAGGTGGAGGGGAAGACGCAAGCCAAGAAAATATGGGAGAATGTGGGGATTCCTGGGATATGTTTGTATCTGTTTCAAAGGAGGCAGGGGTCTGCACAGCAGGAGTCGGACCCTTCAGCTCACACGCCACACCCCCCGAGAGGTGGGGGGGCTCTTCACTCTAGGCCTCCTAGATGGGGTCGGAGTAGATGGGGTCGGAGGATCGCGCCGCATCACCGATGCATCGGTGATGCAACCAGCCATGCGGCGCGATGTGGGGCTCAATTTTCTCCATGCTCACGTCGCCGATGCATCGCCGACGTCGCCAGTGCATGGCCGATGCATCGCCGATGCATCGCCGATGTATCGGCGATGCGTCGAGATCCCCCAACCCCATCTAGAGGGCATCTATCCACAGGCCCCTGATGCCGGCACCTCCTCACAGCGCGGACTCCCCCGAGGGCTCGACACCTCTCCTGCCCCGGACGTGCTGCTGGCCCCGGGTCGTGTTCTGGCAGCCCCGTCTTGGAACCATTTTGGAACCATCTGGGAGGCCATCTGAGAAGACACACAGACAGAAGGCGCGCCCAGACGGCGCATTGGCAAGGAAAAGTGTGGCAGGTGGCGGCGTGCAGGCACAAGCAAAGCATAAAAATAAATAATACATTGAGTAATCGATTGCGCTGCAGGCGGGTCGGTGGCAGACCATGGGAAGACTTTGTACCCCATGGGGCACGACGCGAAGACCTGCAGACAATCTGGGAGGGGGGAGGGGGGTGGAAGGGAGGGAGGGAGGAGGGGAAGGGAGGAGGGGGACCGAGGCAAACACAATCAACGAATATTGCACCAAGATGTGACGGCTGAGCGACAAGTCGCTTCGTCGCCTAAAAGACATTGGAGTCGACTGAGGCTTCGCCCAGACAACGCCGAAGGTTGTGAGTGCAAGTACGTCGTCCATTGCAAACGCGGCCTGCCTCGGGCTCGTGCGCTACCTCACGTCCGGGGCAAAACAGAAGAGTGGTTCCCGACAGAAACAAAACATGCGTCTTGGGAGGCTGCTCGGAGGTTCCCGGGCGAGCCTGCCATATAGCAGTAGTTGGCGTTGCAACAAGGTTGTAAATAGGTTTTGTACTCTCGCTGTCTGAAGAACGTCCGCGTTGCTGACTCTAGACAAATACGCGGGCAAATTCTTGAACAGTATCCTCAAGCATCGCGCTTGGAATGTATCTAGCTTCGCCATATCAGCCTTCAACAGCACGCACCATTCGAGGCCGTATAGCAACTTCGATAACATACACGATTCAAAAAACTTGCAACTTGCGCTTTTTGCTTAAATTTGCATGGTTCCATGCGGTGCGCATTTCTCAAGTGCTCCTTCAGCCTCTCCGAGGCGCTTTACAAAATTCGCTGCGTGGCCGGCCGTCTGCACTCAGAAGCCCACCAGGGTAGGCGGCGCTCTCCTTACACGGGATGGCTGCGCCGTCGGGGCCTATGATGGTAGGGTCTGAACGAATCCGAAGGAGAACAGTCTTCCCAGCATTGAGGTCCAGCCCGAATGTTCTCCCAGCCAATACGACTGCATCCACATGCAATGTTGCTGCGAGCAGCCCGGATGCTCTGCGATCAGCATTGTGCCGTCTGCGTGCAGCACGTCTTCCGTAATCAAATATGGTTTGGATGATTCCTCCAGCCTGCGTTCCGCCATTTGCTTATCAACGATTTCCAATAGTATTGACATCACAATGATGAACAAATTGGTGAGAGCGGGCACCCCTCTGCTATCCCTGCCGCCTGGGTTCGGCTCGATGTCGTGGAGGTCCCGTTCTTCACCACGAACGTCCGCACGCTGTAAATTGCTTCGACCATGTGGAGCATAGGCGGCGGCACAGGGAAGAGCCGAAGTGCGTGAAGGAGTCTTTCTGGCCGGATGCGGTCAAACGCTTTACTCCAATCCAAGAGTAAGAGCAGGAGAGAGCCGTCCTTGTCTTCCAAAGCAGCGTCGATTAAGCGCCGTGCCAGAAAGAGGGCGTCGTTCGTGCCACGTTTTGGTCCGAATCCGTACTGTGACTTCCGTAGTGCCTCTTCTGCCCCTCCATTCTTACACTTTCGTAAAGGGATGTTGGCGAGAACTTTGTACCCCACTGCTAATAGCGAGATTGGCCTGTAATTGCACGGCTGGGACGTGTCCCCTTAAAATTGAAACAATAGGCGTTTCCCGCCAGCTTGCGGAAATGTCTTTTTGTCGCCAACACGTGTTGCACAGATCTCTTAGAATCTCCATTGCTTGGTCGTCTCTCCATAAAGACTGCCACAGTTCTGGCGGTACCCCATCGTTCCCAGGAGCTCTCTGTATTCTGTGCACGAAGGTTTTTGATTACACAGTTGATTTCCTCAATGATTTCCTCAATGGAGATGTCATTCGTGTCGATGCTCAGGTAACCATCTTGTGTATCAATGCGGGGCGGCGGACCTGCAGCCGACAGGAGATGCCATTGTACGCGCTCGAGATAATCAGCCATGGTGTCGGCCTTCCGCGTAGCGTCCACCAGGTCGCCGTTCAGATCTCGAAGACGTCCTTGGGTGAACGATTTCTTTTCCGGAGAGAGCGGATGGCCCGCCAACCGTCTTTCTCGATGGCTTCGCCGAGCCATGTTTTCCTGTCCGCACGGGCTGACCTTTGAATTTGTTTGTTCGATCGTTTCAGCTCATTGTTACCATCTCCGCGCGCGCTGTCGCCCAAGGTTCCTCTGCTCGATGAAATGCAGCGTCCGGGTAGATATCCACGGTCGGTGGGGCGTCGCTGGTTGTAGTGGCACCGCTTCCGCCATCGCCTCCTTCATGCATGAAGCCAATGTTTCTGCTGTGTCTTCGAGGTCCAATGCCGCATGTTCTCGAGTCCAATGTTCGAGTAAATGCTTCGCATACTTCTGTGCCGTTGCCGGAGAGCGCAAGGAGGTCATATCATACTTCGGCGGCGGTGTCGGTCGCTCCTTTTTCTCGATGTTGATCTCCAAATACACATGTACAACATGATGTGACTGCAGTTGTCTCCCGCGGTCGCTCCAGACGTTTGCGATGCAAGATCGCCACGTGTTGGCGACAACTACGTGGTCGAGTTGTTCGAACCTGCCCGGCACGATCTGCTCCGACGGTTCAGCCCCCAAATCATAATAGGTAAGTTTTCGGTCATCCCCACTGTTGAAGAACGTGTTTGTGACAGTAGCTTGCAGTGCATCGCAAAGTTCTAGCAATACCTCTCGGTTCGACGTGGGATCCCACTGTCCAAAAGGACGTCCGAAAAGGTGAGCGAAGTGGCCCAACCCGAAGGTCCCCTGGTCGCCCTCTCTTTGGGCCAGGCTCGGGGCCCGGCAGCCCCCTCCCCGCCAGAGGTCGCACCTGGCCCACAGATCGCCGCGCGCGCTGCACTGCTCAAAAAGTGCCGACTCGCAGGGGGTCCCAAAAGCAAACGCGTGCCTCGATGTAATTCAAGTAGTGGCCAAGCGTCACGGCCTGTCGATAGTCTCACCAAAGACTATTTTGCGAACTTGTTGCGGTTTGCACGAAATGTTCGTGGAACTGTTCTCTGAGGGATTCAATTGTTTTAACTCATCGGCTGTCTTTTCTAAGCGTTCCAAAAACACTGCGTGGTAGGCGAATGAAGGGACGGTCGGTCCTCGCAGACCCCGCTCGGCGGATCCGGGCTTTCTGCGAGCAGTTGCTCTGCGAGCAGTCGAGCTCTCCTGTTCGGACGACTTCCGCTGCCCTTCTCGTTCCCAGCAGCGTCTCGGTAGAAGCTGCTGAGGGTCGCTTCCAGTCACAAATGCCATGGAAGCGTACCACGCGGGGGGGACGGGAGGCCTCGGCCGCCTGGCCCGGCAGCCGTGTCACTTGAGACTTCTTGGCGATGTATTCGGGAGTCGAGCTCTCGCCCTCATGCTGGGCCACTTAAATATATGGATCGGCGCAGAGTGGGTCGGAGGATCGCGCCGCATCGGCGATGCATCGGCGATGCGGCTCGATGTGGATCCCGATTCTCTCCACGCTGATGGCGCCGATACCTCGCCGGCGTCGCCGATGCATCGCCGATGCGGCGCGGTCCTCCAACCCCATCTGCTGGGACCTCATCTGGGAGGCCGCCAGCGATGCGGGCCACATTCTTGGTCCTCACGGCCACCATCCACGCTCCCTCGTCACAGATGCACAGGGTTGCGCACGGCCGTGCCTCGACCTGCGCCTCGACCCGCCTCTTCACCTTCTCTTCTACTCGAGTAGGGCATCGACTACAGAGTTGATTTACCCCAAACTTGACTTGTTCGTCGAATCCATGAGAAATCCGTAGAATGTTCGTAGATCTACGAACACTCTACGCGTGACTCGACGAGGCATTCAATCGTTGGGCAAATCAATTCTGCAGTCGATTCCCTGCTCGAGCTACCAGGGTGTTGTGCTGGGGTAATCATTGCCTCGCGACGGGAGGGGCAAGCCCCCCCCCCCCCGCGACTGCCCCACGAGCGCATCGCCGGCAGGCCTTCCGCGCTGGCCAGTTCGATGTCTTCCCGAAGCCGGTCGGCAAGCTGCTGAACGCGCGCCCGGCGCTCGCCGGGTTCGAGGCCGTGCTGACGCAGGGGAGGCGTCGGGGGCGGCCGCCGACTCGGAGGAGGGCCAGTCAAGGCAACGGCCCGGAGGGCTCCAAAGGGTTTTTGTTTCGGGAGGGGCTTTTCCAGGAGGGGGTCCCCCAGAGGTTTCGCACCCGCTGTTTTGACGAGGTTCGGAGGCCCCCTGGGGGGCTCTCTGGAAAACCCCTCCCCAAAAAACCCCTTTTGGAACCCTCCGGACGGCGGCCCTCCCTGGCGTTCTTCGTCCGTTTTGGGGTTCTTGGAGGCTTCTCGTCGCCACGGCCAGATCCGCTTCGAAAGATTGGTCAGCAGGGAGCCTGGGAGGGGTCCAGAGTCGATCTGGGGTGCATCTGAGCTGGGCGTGATAGCCGCCGTTGTCTGAACTGGCAACTCCTCCGACCGAAGCATTCCCCCACACCTCGTCGTCGGCGTCGTGGCGTCCTCATCCTCGTGTTCATCATATCCTCCTTCCTCCATCGTATCTACTTCACCTCTTCTTCGTCATCCTCGTCGGCGTCGTGGTCGATCTCCTCCACCTCATCGCCTTCTATCCTTCCTCCTCCCTCCTATTCCTCCCCCATCATCCCTCTTCATCGGTATCATGATTGAATCGCTCGCTCATTTCGCTGGCCCATGTTGCTCTGTTGGTGTGCTCGTGGCGAGCGAGAAGGAGGATGCTGAGGAGGAGGATGAGGAGGCGGAGGAGGAGGCGGAGGAGGAGCCGGAGGAGCAGTGTAAATCCAAGGCGCATCAACGACGTTGCAACAAAACTTCCCTCCAAGTTCCCTCTTCAGGCATCCTTACTGCGGGAGGCGGCCCAGTAGAAGATAACCGCCTGAGAATCCTGAATCGTGCTAAACTGCCGTGCCTGGGACATCAACGCCGCGGGTCAACGTGCCTGCTGCGTGCTGGCAATCCCAAGTCTTGCCCGAACTCTAGTTCTGGGATGTCAACACCGCGAATCAACTTGAACGTTGTGTCCTGGGAAGCCGAGATCCTGCCGCGACACAATTCCCGCCACGCCCGCGCGCTCCCGCCGCGGCGGAGGCGCCGCGGCGGGGCCCGCGCGCTCCTGCCGCGGCCGGGGCGGATGCCGGCGCGCGCCTCGCACGGCCGCCTTCGCGGCATCTGCATGGAGCTATGTTGTTCGCCCGTGCGTTCGACGCCCCGGCCCCGGCTCCGAGAAGTGCGCCCCCCCGGCCCGCGGCGCCGGCGCTGCTCCGGCGGCCCGAGGGCGCACTGGGCGCGGGGCTTCCGCGCGGAGCCGCGGCGGACCTGGCTGCCGCGCGCCCCACGGGCGGCCGCGCGTTATCGCGGCCGTGGGGGGCACCGCGGGGGGCGTGCCGCACGCCGCGTCCCTCACAGTATCGCCTTCGAGCTCGCCGCTCTGCTGCTGGTTCCGCGGCTGCTGCGAGGCCACGGTCGGGGGGGCCCTGCGGTGGTCGGGTCAACTTGAGGCCCGCCGCCGACGCTTCGGGCGTTGCTGGCCCGTCGGTCCCAGCACGCAGGGGGAGGAGAAGTCCGCAGCTCCCTCCACTCCTCTTTCATCTCCCTCGCGTCCTTCTCTGTCTTCCTACCCCCAGTCCTCCACGATCACACAATGAGAATATGCTTCCTCTCTCCCCCGAAGACGCTGGTGAGGTGTCTGGCCTCCTCCGCGTATTGAACTTCATCTCTTCACCGGATGCCGCCGAGTTGATCATTCATATGTGTTTGTTTCCAATCCTAACGGTTCCACTCCTTTCAGAATGGCGCTCCATTTTCTCGTCGTGTTCCCGCTGTAGCGCTGACCTCATTTCATTGTTTCGGTTCTTCCACAGCGGGTTCTTGTTGCACCGTTGTTTTCGTTTCCGCGCTTCCAGTCTTTCCAAATCGTGCCCCCACCGCAGCCCTGGTTTCATTTTCGCGGTTTCGGTCCTTTGAAATCGCGTCCCCGTTGCAGCGTTGACTTCTTTATGCGCTTCCAAATGTCCAAATGTCCAAACCGTCCATTTGTATTTCCCGTCCTGTGTGCTTTTTGGTCTCCCCTCTGACTGTGTCGAAACGAGTCGCGTTCTAGACGCGATGCCATGCTATGCCGTGCTATACCATGCATCGCGTACTCTCTCTGGATATTTCCCTGTTCGACAGTCGACTGTGCGAATAGAGAGGATGTCTACGCAAGCGTAAGGGATGGGAGGGAGGGGTAGGACGTCAGCCCTCCTCCTCCGTCGTCTCCTCCTCCTCCCGTTTTGTCTCTCCCCCTTTTCTATTCCTCACCCATCTTTCCCGTCCTCCCCCTCCCCATCTTCCCCTTCCAGCCGCGAGGTGGAAGAGTGACCAGTGGGGCCCGCCTCCGCGCGAGTTCCGGCCCCCCGGGGCGCTGCTGGTCGCGGCGACGAATTCTAGCGGCGCGGAGTCCGAGCAGGTCTGCATGGGCCTTTCGGTGGTGGTGGTCGTCGTCGTCGTCGTCGTCGTCGTCGTCTCTCTGGGTAATTATTCGGGAGGCTTCTCGTCGCCACTGCTGGATTCCCCTGGGAATTCTGGCCAGATTGCACCCTAGGCGGTTTTGAGCGGTCGTCGTCGTCGTCGTCATCGTCGTCGCCGTCGTCTGGAGGCTTCTCGTCGCGACTGCTTGATCCCCCTGGGAATTCTGGCCAGATTGCACCCTAGGGGGTTTTGGGGGTCGTCGTCGTCGTCGTCGTCGTCGTCGTCGTCGTCGTCGTCGTCGTCGTTGTCGTCGTCTTCGTCGTCGTCATCTTCTATCTGGGCATCTGGGGGGCTTCTCATCGCCACTGCTGGATCCCATTCTGGCCAGATTGCACCCTTGGAGGGATCTTGGAGGTCGTCGTCGTCGTCTTTTTCTCTGGGCATCTGGGAGGCTTCTCGTCGCCATTGATGGATTCCCCTCGAAAGTCTGGCCACCTTGCACCCTAGGAGCCTCGGAGGGATCTTGGAGGTCGTCGTCGTCATCGTCGTCGTCACCGTCCTTGCGTGTTCTCGTCGCTGCGGTCGTCCAAATGTCGTCGTCGCTATCGGGGTAGGAGGATGGTGAGGAGGCGGCGGGTGATCTGTGGATTTGGAGGAGGATGATCGAGGAGGAGGAGGTCCTGAAGGCAGAGAAGGGCCGCTGGCGGGGGCAGGAGCGGGGGCAGGTCTGGCAGTCCCTGGTGGCGGCCCTCGGCGGGTGGCTGTGCGCGTCGTTTGAGGGCATGGACCCGGAGAGCCCAGGGACTGCAACATGGGGTGGCCGTTCACGGGCGGGATGGGGGCAGGCGCTCAGTGGGCCCTGGAAACGACAGGGCAGTTTTTTTACCAGTTCCATGTCGCCGTTTTTTGACTGGTTCCGGCTTCAGTTTCAATCCTGGAGCCGTTTTTTTGCCGTTTCCGGTTGCCGTTTCTTTGCCGTTTCCATTTTCAAGGGGCATTTTTTATGAAACAGTGAAAAAACGGCCCTGCCGTTTCCGGGGCCCACAAAGGGCGGTACACAAGCTGAAGCGGACAACGCAGGAACAGGCAGTATGTGTCGCCATGCTTGTGCACGCACGCTGCTAGCAGTATCTCAGGGGGGGAACAACTCACAGACGCCATTCATCGTCGACTCCCAGGAACATATGGGAAGATACGGGGAGCGGGGGGGAAGACGAAAACACAGAATATACGTTTTGGCGAACGCATCGCGGCAGACCTACGAATTTATATAACTACGTGTTGAGCTCCGGATCAGTACGCTACGTCTTGCGTGTTGCGTATCGGGGCAGTTGCGATGGGTATCGGCTTCCCAGATGGGGTCCGAGTAGATGGGGTCGGAGGACCGCACCGCATCCCGCCGATGCATCGGCGATGCGGCTCGATGTGGAGCCCAACGTCCTCCAATCCGATGTCGCCGCTGCGTCGCCCACGTCGCCGATGCATCGGCAATGCGGCGCGATCCTACGACAGCATCTGCTCGATCCCCATCTAGGAGACCTCAAATGGGGAGGAAGGAGAGGGGAGATGAGGGGAGGGAGGGAGAGAGGATTGGATGAGAGCGAGGAGGTGGGGGAGGGAGGGAGGAGGATGGGGAGGTGGAGGAGGAGGAGGTGGAGGAGGTCGGGAGGACGAGGAGGAGGAGGAGGAGGAGGAGGAGGAGGAGGAGGGGAGGAGGAGGAGGAGGAGAAGAGTGTGGCTGCGCTCAACGAACCCTATCGCCATCTGGAATCAAGAGTCAGGACTCGGGAGGAGAAGGTCGAGAAGGGGGAGGGGGGATGGATGATGAAGGAGGGGGGGCGGGATGGAACGGGGATGAGGGTGGGGGGGGGGGGGGCGGGAGAGCGGAGGGATCATGGAGGTGGACTCGCAGGGCAACGGATGAGCGAGGGGCCAACTGGGCGGGCGGGAGGGGCGCGACAGGGGAGGGGAGGGAGGACGGGAGGCTTCAGGGACGAGGCGGGTGGACCCTAAGGTGCCGTGGCGGTTATTTTAACTGCCAGCTTTTGGCGTTTTTTTTTTACCGCCAGCGGTTATTTGATATCGATGTTGGTGCTTGCATCACCTGAGACTAGGTTCGTGATCGATCATTGTTGGTTTTGTTGTATCAGTTGCTATTCGAGTTGCCTCGTTTGTTGTCCCTCTTAGATTTTACACGTGTATATATATAGATGGATGATGATCATGATGAGGCGGAGGACGGATTCGACTGGGAAGGATGAGGAGGAGGAGGACGAGGAGGCGGGGAAGGGCGAGGGATATAACAGTGATAGGGGCGTAGGTCAGGGAATAGGGCAATGCCACCACTCATGGTGGCGACGCCGACGGCGATGACAACGGTTGCAGCGATAACGGCTGCGTTGTGGCTCTAGTGATGGAGAGGGTCTCGTGGCCATATCAGACTCACGTCCCAAAGAGCCCCCTGCGAACGACACCACTCGGCAGGGCCATGAGCCGCGCCGCAGGGCGTGCCGCAGCTGCGGATGAGACCCTCTTTGACTCCGCCGAGTCTCCGTCGAGGGCGCTGACTGCACGCTTCGCGGATCGCCAGCCCGAGTCTCCCGAGACGCCCTGTCCGCTCGAGCTCCCCGCCCCCGTCGACGAAGAGGCCGAGGTTGTTAGCAGCGATGAGCAACCGCTGGTGCCCGTGCCGCCGACTCATGCAGATGAGGCGTCCGAGGCAGAGACTGAGAAGGCCGACATCCCGATGCGCGTGCTCGAGCCGCTGCAGCGCCCCTCGTGGATCGGTCAGTCGAATGTCCACGAGCCTGGGAAGCGCCACTGGAAGCTGAGGACTGATGATGCTGTGTGTGGCCCCGTGCCCGCGCAGTCGCAGGAGGTGCTCATGCCGCCCGAGGTGCAGGCACACATGCACGGCGCAGATGTCGCTGGAGGCACGCCTGTCCCTTCCACGCCGCCGAGCTTTGCTAGCAAGAAGACGGCGTTCATGGACAGCATCTCGGGCATGTTGAATGGCTTGCGTGACAAAGCAGCAACGCAGGACGAGAACCACGTGGCCGCTGGCCTCAGGGAGCTGCTGAACTCCGCGGAGGTGAAGCACATCATGAGCCTCAAGCAGGGGACGCCGTCTCCTCCGACGAATTCAGGCCGCGGCGACGAGCAGGAGGGCGACGAGGTGAACTGGGCAGAGATGTGGGAGAAGCTGAAGGACCCGCATTCGGGGGTATGAAGGTCAACGTAGGTCAATGGAGGGCCAATATGTTTATCTGTTCATTGACCTAGCATTGGCCCGCAGGTCGACGGCGGGTCAATGCTAGGTCAATGAACGGATAAACGTAGGTCGATCGGCTACGGCCAGCACGACGACGACGATGACGATGACGACGACGACGACGACGACGACGACGACGACGACGACGACGACGACGACGACGACGACGACGACTACGACTACGACGACAACGACGACGACGCGCGTCCATGGCCCCCGCCCGCCCAGGAGGGCGGCTACCGCTTCTCGACGAAGGGCCGCAAGGGCAACCCGATCGCGGGCACATGGCAGAGGGAGAAGAACAAGTCTGAGAAGATCAAGCAGGAGTACGCAGAGGCCGTGCGCAAGGGGACCGCGGCCATGGACGAGTACAGGCAGCAGTGGTGCCGCGACGAGCACGTGAAGTACCAGAAGCAGCACGCCTTCACCGAGTCGCAGGAGACCGCGTGGGTGAAGGAGACGGAGATGCTCGCCGTCGGGCGCATCGCCTGGCTGTACGGAGGGGGGGCCGAGGGGTGGCGGGCGGCGACGACCCACTGCTCCAAATGCATCCAGATGGGCCCCCCCTTCGTAGAATATGAAGAAAGTGGTGAGATCCTCCTGTTCCCGCATGTCAAGAAGGTGTTCAAGGAGCAGTTCAAGCAGGTCTGGACGACCCACCAGACGTGGCTCGTGAGCGCGCTGGATGGCGGCGCCGATGCCCCCTCGGCGGGGCAGGGCTTGAATCGGGGCGGGTAGGATTCAGGGTAGAGGTAGAGGAGGAGGAGGAGGAGGAGGAGGAGGCGGAGGAGGAGGAGGAGGAGGAGGAGGAGGAGGGGGAGGAGGAGGGCGACTACGACGACGACGACGACGACGACGACGACGACGACGACTACGACGACGTCGACGACGACGACGACGCCGACGACGGCGACGACGACGACGACGGCGGTGGAGATGATCGGCGTGCTGGGTTTGAGGGAAACGATACGAGTACGCTGACGACGGCGATGCTGAGGATGATGGTGATGAGATGATATGATGAGGATGATGATGATGATGATGATGATGATGATGATGATGATGATGATGATGATGAGGCTGAGGATGGTGATGATGATGCCGATGATGATGGTGATGGTGATGCTAGTGATCATCATACGATGGTGGTCATGATGATGACGATGATGATGATTATGCTGATGATGATGTTGCTGCTGATGATGATGCCGATGATGATGATGATAATGACGGTGACGACGACGACAACAACGAGGATGATGATGATTATGGTGATAATGATGATGCTGATGGTGGTGGTGGATGATGATGATGATACTGATGCTGATGATGATGACGATGCCGATGACGATGATGCTGATGAGGATGATGAGGATGTTGACGATGATGATGATGTTGACGATGATGAAGATGATGATGATGATGAGGATGAGGATGATGATGAAGATGATGAAGATGAAGATGAAGATGAAGATGATGATGATGATGATGATGATGATGATGATGATGATGAGAATGATGATGCTGCTGCCGACCGTGAGTATGATGCTGATGATTTCGACTGTGACGAGGAGCGGGAGGGGGGTGGATGAGGAGGATGAGGATGAGGACGGTGAGAAAGACGAAGAAGGTGCGTTGGAGCGAGGGAGGGAGGTAGGGAGAGGGAGGGAGGGAAGGAGTGAGAGAGGGATGGGGGAGATGGGTGAGGATGAGGAGGCGAATGAGGAGGACGATCGAGGAGGACGATCGAGGAGGACGATCGAGGGGATAGCGGGATCGGCCGCTCCCCAGGCGGCGCCGGCGGCGGGGGCGCAGCTGGCGGTCGCGGAGGCGGCGACGGCGGCGGCGGCGCGCGGCTCGGGTGCCGAGGCGCGCGACCCAGGGGAGTGAGGGGCTGTGAGGCGAGTAATTCAATATGATAGGGATGGGGGGGGGATGGAGGAGGAGGCGGATGAGGGGGATAGGTAGGGGGAGAGGGCGAGGAGGAGGTGGAGGAGGAGGAGGAGGAGGAGGATCGAGGAGGAGGATCTGACGAGGAAGAGGGAGAAGGGTGAATGTTACAAGGACGATGCGGGCTCACCCCATCCGTGCCCCCCTCTCTCTCCCATAACTCGCCCATCTTTCATCCTCCCACCCCGCCCCCGCAGGCTGCTGGCGCTGGGGCGGCTGCTGGGGCGGCTGCTGGGGCGGCGCAGAAGCGCGGCCGCGAGGCCAAGGCGGGGATGGGCGCGGGCCGACTGTGCCGCCGTCGACCCATCGATGAGCCAACGGATGATCATCCGCTGGCTCATCGATGGGTCCGCTGATCCGCCGTCGACCCACCATTGGCCCGCCATTGACCCACACGTTGACCCGCCATTGACCCGCCATTGACCCACACATTGACCCGCCATTGACCTGCGGTGTGTTCGTTGACCCACACATTGGCCCGCCATTGACCCACCATTGATCCGCGAGGTGTGCGTTGACCCACACATTGACCCACCATTGACCCGCCATTGACCCACCATTGACCCACCA